TCACTCTTACTATTTCTAATTTGCTCAATATTTCTTTCATACGATTTCTGTATAATTAAGTATGGTTAATGGTATTAAGATGATTCATGTGAATATTAGGAGCCTATTGCCTAAAATAAATCAACTAAGAGCTTGGGCAAGCTATAACAAACCTGCTGTTGTTACAATATCCGAAACATGGCTCTCCTCAGGTATCTCTGACAATGATATTCACTTGGACAATTACACTGTGTACAGAGCAGACAGAGGTTCTAGAGGAGGCGGAGTAGCTACTTATATACTATCGAGTTTACAATCACATATTATTTGCCCTCATGAGAAACCATTACACTTTGAAGGGCTTTTTATCAAAATGATTTTGCATGAAAACAAACATCTGACTATTGGAAACATCTACAGACCCCCAAACTCCCATTCTGATTCAGTAAAAAATATTTTAGCCACTCTTTCATCCCTCGGCCGTAAAAATGAAATGATCATCATGGGAGACTTCAACATAAACTGGTTGTCTCCTTCCTCATCATCTGAACGTAACATTTTTAATAGCTCTAATTTCACCCAGCTGATTAATGGCCCCACACGAATTAGTCCTACTTCACAATCTCTTCTGGACTGGATTTTAGTAACACGTCCAGATAGATCACTTGAATCCGGTGTTTTACCAGACTGCTTTAGTGATCACTGTATTGTATACAGTATTTGGAAAATTAAACCACCGCGCCTTCCCCCAAAGATTATCAAAGTACGTAAGACAAAATTACTGAACAGGGATAACTTTATTAATGATGTGATAAATATAAACTGGGATAGACTAGATTTGATACCTAATATAAATGAAGCCTATGACTACTTCTCTACTGAACTTTTGAATGTCATTAATATACATGCTCCGTTGACAGAAATCAGAGTTAAAGGAAACCACCTTCCCTGGGTGAATGGTGATCTGATCAATTTATATAGACAACGGGATAGAGCCTGGTCCAAATATAATTCCTCTAGGTTTGCTGCAGACTGGGAGGAATATAGACGTTTGCGAAATATCTGTACCACTCAGACTAGAAATGCTAGATCTAATTATCATAACAATAATTTAACAAATAATTTTAAAAATCCTAAAAAGTTCTGGAAGCACATCAACCATTTATCAGGTAAAATTAATTCTGAACCTTCTAATATGCTTATTAACGATATTATTACAAATGATCCCGATACTATTGCAAATGCCTTTAATTTACATTTCTCTAATCTGCCTCAGGTCCAACCTCCTCCACTTTCTTCAGTCTCTCCCTGTTATGTTACCCCTGACAGTAGTTTTTCATTTAGACGGGTAAGCCCAGTTGTAGTAGAGCAGATTTTAAATGGGTTATCCCCTTGCAGTGCTGGTCCAGACGGCATCGAGACCAAGTTCATCAAGCTTGCATCTCATGTTCTTTGTTTTCCTTTGGCAGATCTCTTTAATTTATCTTTTCAAACATGTGAAGTTCCCTCCGCCTGGAAATGTGCAAAGGTCATCCCCATCCACAAAGGTGGTGACTCAAATAATATAAATAACTACAGACCCATCTCTATCATCAATAGTATTGTCAAAGTATATGAAAAAATTGTGTTTAATCAACTGTCTCAATATCTATCAACCAATAATCTCCTCTCTCCATTTCAATCTGGATTTAGAAAACATTTTTCAACCACATCTGCATTATTAAAATTCACAAATGATATTTTTTCTGGTTTTGACAATAACCTGCTCACTGGTGCTTTATTTATTGATTTAACAAAAGCTTTTGATATGGTCGATCACTATCTCCTTTTAGACAAACTCCACTCAGTCGGTCTGGACAGGTCCTCACTTCTCTGGTTCAACTCCTACCTTCATCACAGACAGCAATGTGTCTTTTACAAAGGCAGCTACTCCGGTTTCTCTTGTATTGAGAGAGGTGTGCCACAAGGCTCTTCACTTGGGCCACTATTATTTTCCATTTTTATAAATGATCTGCCTCTGACATGCAACGACTGTAATGTACAACTTTACGCTGATGACACAGTAATTTATTGCTCTAAATCAAATATTACTGACATTCAAAATTCTCTTCAAGTTGATTTCAATTCAGTTCAAATCTGGCTACAATCAAACAAACTTTTACTCAATAAATCCAAATCCAATTTTATGTTGTTCCAGAAACGAGTTCGTCCCATTTCTACAAATGAAATTAATCTTCTGTTTTTAGACAAGTCACCACTCCCAATTGTTGATCAGTTTAAATACCTTGGTTTATGGCTTGACACCTCACTCTCTTTTAACAAACACATACAGACAATCTCAAACAAAATTTCATATCGCCTAAAATTACTTTATCATTCAATTAATTGCTTCAGTTTTTCAGTTAGGAAAAGAATTATTTCACAGTTGATCCTTCCTATTCTTGATTACAGTGACATCATTTATCAGAACACTTCAGCCTCCATCCTCCAGCCTCTGAATGTCACATACAACAGCCTGTGCAGGTTCATTCTCCGCTGTCCCTTTAGGACCCACCACTGTCTTCTGTACGAGCAGTTATCGTGGCTCTCTCTGTCCTCCAGACGTCAGCTTCACTGGCTGCTGTTTATTTTTAAATGTATCAATTTAAGTTTTCCAGACTATTTAAAACAATATTTGACTCCTCTGCGATCCACTTACAGTTTGCGCCATGCAAACCAATGTTTCTTTGTTGTCCCAAGAGTTAAGAAAGAAGTAGGAAAACATTCGTTCAAATTTAAAGCTCCTTCTGACTGGAACAGTTTACCTTCATCCATCCGCGCTCTTACTTCTCTGCATCTGTTTAAGAATGCTTTGGTCCAATACCTCCAGAACCCATGCCAATGTTATTGAGCATATGCACCTACATTAAATTCAGTGATATGTACTACTATGGATACTAGCTGTAATCTCTGTTAATTTATAACAGACGTTATATCAGAAACAATCAGTGTGTGTGTGTGTGTGTGTGTGAGAGTGTGTTTTTAGGTGTCCTTTGTCTTTGTGTTTGTATTATTTTTTATGAATTTTGTTATATTGTTTGCTCTACTGTCTGCCTTACTGCATCTGTCATTTTGTGCAATTTTGAGGACCCCCTCGAAAACGAGATGTTTCATCTCTAGGGGCTTATCCTCCAAATAAATAAATAAATAAATAAAATAAAATAAATCCTTCATAATCTCTGGCTGGGTGTGTCAAATTTCAAGCACAACTGTAACTTTTATGTTATGATTCTTGGGGCTGTGTCTCAACTACTTTCATCCACATACGAATGAAAAATACAGTATTACTCCAACTTGTAACTCTGCTGGAACCGAAATAAGTTCCCTTTGAAACAAAAATAAAGATGCTCTTCTTGACTGTTCATAGGCCTATACAGCTGCCTGCATATACTGTTATCCTACACTCCATTGCTCCATACATTTTTCCACTGGGTTGACATCGCTGCCTGGACATGGCTGTGTAAATGTTGTGGTCCTCTCTGACCCTGGAGTACAGTGGTCTTCAACAGCAGTGTATCGGTTTCAGTGGCTCGGAATTCTCTGCACTCGTCCTGTGTCATTTTCCGAATGCAATTTGAAATAGTTGCCATGTGACGGTCTTTCCGAGCCTCCCATAAAGTGGCAGCCCCGGCAAGCCAAGTGGGTCAGACCTCGCTGAGGAAAAGGATCATGGAGTGTTGATGGATATGTCAGAAGAGGCCACAGCGTTGGGTCACTTAACCGACTGCTGCTATTCCTGCTTCTATTGTGGCCCACGCTGACATGAGGTCTTTGTCACTATGCTTCAGACAGCCTTTAATTCCCCCACAGTGAAAACGATAATCCTGGTATTTTCCTTCATGTTTATTTTTACAGTTGCAGCGTAGTATAGTGGTACATATTGTTCCAACGTGCATGAAGTATTGTCTACAGCCCTCACCAGCCATTTAGAAAAGGGTAGTCTTGACTTTACAATTGGCCTTCCATCTGGACATATGTGGTTTTTCACTTTACTTTGGATCAGAGAGAGAGACAGTAGAGAGACCAGTCATAGGAACTTGGATTGACGTATCTATACTTTTACTTCTAAGTTAAAAATGCATTAAAATGTATTTGTATTGCACATTATATTATTGGTTTGCCTACACACAGGCAAGTCAATCATAAATTTACCATATTTGAATAAAATTAGCTTGAAATACCTATACACAGTGTCGGCAAACAAACAAAAATCAGATACTTAACATAAAAATCAACTCTTGTAAAAGTTCTGAAATAAGTGTAAAAGTATGTATTTTAGTTGAAAAAGTAAAAAGTAAAAGGAATTAGTGAGGAATACTTCACATTGCTTTATTTGAGACATTTTAAGAACTGCTTTTGAAACACTTGCATACCATTGTAGAAAGGATTCATACCAACAGAGAATATATGACAATAATTCAAACATGGCGACGCTTCTGAGCTTAGGAGCATGGCTAACCACAAATAATGAATTCACTTAGAAGCATGAATAAACACCTCAACGCTGTTTTATATAATTGTGTTATATTATGTAATTGTATGCAATGTAGCTATTCATTTTATGTAAGGAGTAGAAAGTGCAGATTTTTGGGTTTGAAAGTAGAGCGGTTTTTGGAAATTAAGTAATCAGGTAAAGTTCAAATACTTAGTTACTTGCCACTTCTGCTTCGGACAATTTCACTACTATATAAGCATGCATAGTGTCTCCATGTCGCTGTAGTGCATTCCACAACCTACTGCCAAAATAAAAGCTGATATTAGGGAGACGTCCTCTGCATTACCTGAAGCAGACTTAATGTTTCTCCTGTTGTTTATCACGCGTTGTCCACGGCAACTGATCAATGCTAAAATGTCTATGTGCATCATGTCAGTGCAACCTCACTCTCCCTCTTCCATTGTCATAAATAATGCAATCAGACAATTCAAACTCATTTAGTGTGTGTGTGTGTGTGTGTGTGTGTGTGTGTGTGTGTGTGTTTCAGTACCGGATCGGTCAGCTGTACATGATCAGCAAACACAGCCATGAGCAGAGTGAGCGTGGGGAGGGCGTAGAGGTGGTGCAGAACGAACCCTACCAAGACCCGGAGCACGGCCAGGGCCAGTTCACAGAGAAGCGAATCTACCTCAACAAGTGAGACTTTTATCACACCTGTTATTGCGTGGGCATGTCTGTTACCTAGCACCATTTGCACCAGCCCTGCTTGGCTCTACTTTACTCTATTGGTTGTGTTTCAATTACGCTTTAGTATCTGGTACCAAATCAGCAGCAATTTGGCCAATCAGGCTAGAGCATGGCCTGGATAGAACCAGGGCCAAGCAGGTACTATAAAAGATACCTGATACTGTTTTAACATGGCTGGTAGAAACGCGAGTAGAATAGAGTACGGCCAAGTAGGGCTGGTGGAAATAGGGCTTATTTATAACTGTGAATCCAGATATAGTCCTATTAATCTAATGTTGAGTGTTTTTTTTTTTTTTTTTTTTTCTGCAATCTGCTTCTTCATTGTGGCACAAATAAAGGTTATCATATCTAATCAAAAGATATCATCTTAAATATGAAGTTTGTCTCCATGTACAATTATTGTAGTGCCTTATAAAAGGGATTCATTATAGGTATTGATTATAAACTTTCTTTTCAATGGTGAAGGAGCGGGCTTCTTCCTCTTGGCAAAATTATTTTTAGAAGAAAAACACAAAAAAAAAACACAAAATAATGCTTAAATAGATCACAATGGAACAGGTTTTTTAAACCCCAGACCACACCCCACTTATAACAAGTCTCATTCACAACTCACTGTTTTACCAGCACAGTGTTGCTTAAGCCCTCAAACTCTCAGGCCTATTCCCATATAAGTTTTATACAGGCCTTTTCACAGCCTGAACATTGTTGAAAATGCAAGAAATTTTACTCAGATTGTAAGTTAGTCTTTGGGGATTCTGTGGATGTGAACATTTTCATGTCTACAATAGTTTGCACGAGTACTTTAACAACATTATCAACAAAGGTTAGTACGCCTAAGAAAAAGACATAAAAATTATGTATATATGACACAATTAACTTGTAAAGAAGCAAATAAACATAATCAAATGCAACTTCAACTTTTACTGACACCTTGGAGCAAAGTTTATGTCTAGATACCAAAAAAATAACAATTTGTGCAGGTATTGATGTGAAAAATCCAGGCGGAAATGCATTTGGTATAGTTTGGCAAATGTTTTTGTTTATCCGTGCATGTGCTTGCATCAAAGTCGGCTTGCCCCCGCCGGCAAAAGGGCTTAAGGGGTTAAGAAAAGCAACATTTACCTCTTGACAGGTGTGTGTCCGGGATAATGTGCTGTGTTGACTTTTTTGTAGATTTTCTCAACAGACTCTTTATAATGATCCTATTGATACTGTAACTGTTGCATTTCTAAGTGAAGTCAAATCAATCAATTCAGAATTTGTTATAGAGCTTATTTCATATATTAGTAAATTCTCCCAGAGCCAAAATACCTTTCTCTCAACAAAGCAAATCTTTTTGAAAAGCCGTCAATGAGTGCTGTGTTTTTGGTTGAATTTACTGCTCTTAAAGCTGCTCTGATATACGAGCTTCACGCTCCATTAGCAAATTAGTTCAGCCTAGACGGCTGTGTGATATCAATACATAATTTTGTAAATTGGAGTGCCAAGCTTACCCTGATTTATGAAGTTGTTGAAAGAGTCAACTTTTGAGATTTATCCAATTGTAGTTACAGAGGGCATCTGCAAAAACCAAACACAACAAAACATTGCACTTGATGTGTTGATTGCTTCAATAACTAGTATAACTGATTGAATGGTGTAATAAATTGATTAGTTCAAGTGGAAAATGAAAAGTGCAGAGTGGCTAGTACCAGTGTGGGAAATGCAAAAGGCTTGGGGCCAAGTTCTGCTGGAAACTTGGCTCCTGATGATGCCAGTTTGTGCGTTCATGTGTGAATCTGCATGTGGGCAGTGAAAGATGAGGTTAATTGCCACACTATTAATTTAGACTGCGAGACTCTGATATACACCACCTGCCACCATGTTGTGGAGTAGGCCCTTGCAGGTTGCTCGGCATGACGAACAGATGGCTGCACACCCTCCCTGTTCTTAAAATATGTTTGTGATTTGTGACACCTGAAAACTCTCTTGCCGCTATTACTAATCAACACTTCTATTGTGCACTGTCCAATTTTTCACAATCAGTTCTTCCTTGACCAAATTTTACCCCAGTGGTTTCGATAGCTATCCTCTGAATGTCCAGCACGTTACCTTTTGTCGCACCCAGAGCAGTCGTTTATAAAACAATCTTTGCTGATTTAGTGCACCAATGTGTAATCAGAATCCAGGGTCATCATCACTGCATGTAAGGCCATTGTTAAGCTGGAGGATGCTTGTCATTGGACTTTTCTAGACTTATGAAATAAAACCTAGAAACTTTTATAACATACCTTTTTTATTCTTTCAGTAAGTTGCCAAGTTGGGCCAGAGCAGTCGTTCCCAGGATTTTCTATGTCACAGAGAAGGCTTGGAATTATTACCCATACACCATAACAGGTAACAGTGGATGTTTGATGGTGCACACTTGTGCTGGGTCACTGACGGGGCAAAGGGACACAGGTCCAATAATGTGGCTGGTGTTATGTTCAGTGAGCCGTACAGGGAGCAAGAAGCCAATGAGAAAGTCCAGCCAAGGGACAGTACGAACTACAGGATTTGGAAACGTTAGTAATGATTTTATTAGTACAATTAGGCTTTTAAAGGAACAGCATGTCACTTTTTATTATTATTATTATTATTATTTTGAACTAAATCTATATCTGTTGTGCCCCCAGTTATTCTTCATTACAAACACAATGGACATTATGTCCATAATATTTATGTTTACACTTATTGAGCAGATTATCCAATCAGAAAACAGAATGAGGCTCTCATTTGGGTTGCCAAATCGTTAGGTGGAATTTATCTGATCTTGGCTTCTTTATCTTTACAAAGAAAGACAAGCAGCACATGTTTGAATGAAAGCAGAAATATAAGTAACACACAGCGTTTGTAGAATCAAAGATTATAGATACAATGTTCACAGCTAAACAGAACTCATCTACATACACCTGAAATACTGCCTGACCATGTTTAGTCCTGACCCTGGGCACCAGCGGGAGGCCAGACCCTGCTGCTGTCATCACATATCAACAAAATGGTCTTTTAGGTAAAAAATATTCTTCGATGAAGACTCACTTTTATACGCATTCAATACAATCTTTTTTAAAGGGGTTTTGAAATTACTTTCAAATCTTGCTTTTAATAATTGTTTCCAAAATATTTTAAAAACTCAAATTGCAATTGACTTTTAGAAACTCTGTTTCAACATGATGCTGTGGGGGTTCCGCCTTTACAGCGGTGTCATTTCAGAGGCTGCATGTGTCAGTCTGGTTTTAAAGTTTTTGTCCAATCTAATCATTTTTCCCATTTTTCTTTCATGGTTTGATCCTGGTCTGTGGCATCTCGATCACCTCCCGGCACCATCCCACTGCTGCCATCCCCCAGAGTACACAGTGAGTAAATGTGGTTACCACTATTGTTGTTTCGAAGATTTGCAAAACATTCATATTCAGTGTTTAGTTTATAGTCATAACACAATCAGCAAAACTCCTAATAGATAATACCAGCTGTAGGTTTACCTTTAACCATTATTGTCCCCAAATGGAATTTTGTCCCCAAATGGAATTTTGTCTTGGGCCACAAAACATCCGTGTATTTCTTTCAGTCCACTGCATCAGGCAATAAAAGGACTCTGATGCTGATTCTATAACATTTTAATATTGAATTAGTTCAGTCTTGAGTCGTGTTCTTTTGTACATGTCAGTGTCATGTGGTAAGATGATGGAGGACTCAAATGCAGGAATGCAAAAGAATAATGATTTAATACAGTGTTTTTCAACCTTTTTTGAGCCAAGGCACACTTTTTTCACTGAAAAAATCTTGCGGCACACCTCCAGGAGAAAATGTAAAAATGTATACAGTACTAATGTAAAAATATATACTGTACATACTCTGTGTGATATATAAAGTATATCTTATCTTATCTTATAATGTATACAGTATACTCTGTAGCCTATATTCACAATATACAGTTATTCTCATCAAAATGCTTAAGTCCAGGCCTTGACATTAAGCTTTATTTAATATTTCTCGATACAATTAACAAGTAGTAGTAAGTAGTAGTAATCTTTATTTATATACCGCCTTTTCACTGCACATCGGAGTCTCAAAGCGGTTTACAATTGTTATTTTTTTGGGAGTGGGGGTGCCAGTACAGGAGGCACATGACAGACCTATTGTACATATTTTTAGTGGTAGGGGAAACCGGAGCACCCGGAGGAAACCTACGCAGACACGGGGAGAACATGCAAACTCCACTCAGAAAGGCCCTGGTCCAACCGGGATTTGAACCCAGGACCTTCTTGCTGAGAGGCGAGAGTGCTATCCACTCAGCCACCGTGCTTGCCTTGCCAAGAGTTTGGGAATAAAGTGGCACTAACTGTGTGGAAATAAACTAAGAAAATCCACTCTCTGCCCAAATAGTCAAATAATAACTCACACAAAGAACATGCATTGTTAGTGCATGGGAAAAATTTAGGTATCCGAGCTTTAAATTCAGGAGTTTTGGATGAGGGACACGGGAGGTCCTGAACGCGAGTCCATGGTTCTGTCCGGTCCGCATGTCTGTGGTTCTGTCCACTTGACTATGGTCTGCGCTCGGTACCCAGTTCAGAAGTGCGTTCGCGAGAGCTGTTGTACAAAAATTGTACATTTCATAGTTAAACCACTACAACGCGGCCACAGCTGCCCCGGGGCAGAGCGGAGGATGTTAATCCTGTTCAGAAACGGCATAATTCATTTTCAAAAACGTCTCTATCACTTTCACTTCTCACTCGCCACAAAGCTCTTGTCTCGCTCCCTCCCACATTTGTTGGTCGCATCCAATTTTACCTTTCTCGCCACAATGCTGACCTGTTACAGCCAGTGGTCGCATCCAATTTTTCAGTTTCAAAGTACTTAGCTATCTGCTGCCATCTACTGATTTGAAAAAGTATTACATGGTTACTCCACAGTTCAAAACAAGTCACCGCTCGTCAACAGCGAATGCAGTTATTTTTAGACAAAGTAGACGAATTTCTCACGGCACACCAGACAATATCATACGGCACACTAGTGTGCCGCGGCACAGTGGTTGAAAAACACTGATTTAATAAAATAAAAATCCAGGTGAAAACATAACTCAAAATCCAAAACACAGAACCAGGAACAGGACGGAACAGAAGTTGACAATACAATGGACCAGCAACAAAACGAGAGGAGCACAGGGTAATTATAGACAGACACAGGTGAAACACATTAGGGCAGGGCAGACAATCAAGACTGGGGAAACAGGACGTCAAAGTCAAACTAAAACCAAAGCACAGAATCAAAATAAAATCTAAAGTCCAAAATAAAATCCACACCATGACAGTCAGCAGTTCAACGTGTATTAGCTTTTCAGTTGATACAATTCAAGTAATATGTGTATATACATTTCTTCATAAAACCATTATGTATTTTTGTATACATTTGATTTAATGATTGAAATCTATTGATTCGGATTCTGTTTTTTATTTCATTTGCGCCATAATCCACATAAACCACATTGAATATTTGTGCAAAAATACCCAGTGTGCTCCAGAGACAACAACACGAAACATTAAAAGAAAAACAAATCAAGAGAACAGAAAGAGTCTTACAAAAGTAATCTTAATATGTTTAGCAAGAGTGAAATCTTTTGCATAACGTAACTAACTAACATACTACATAGAAATAGGTGAATCCCTTTTTGACGCTTTGCGCTGATATCTGATTGGCTGAGTGAGAGTGGTCCTCTCGTTTTCACTTTTCTGTTTCAAAAAGATGAGAGAGTAGAAATACATACACGTATAAACTAGTGATAGACAGTTTCTACAGCAACAAGGAACTAGTAACATGGATTTTTTGACAGAGTGAAACCTTTTGTGGGTTGAAAGTTAGGTATCCAAGCTTTAATGATAATAATAATCAGATAGGTGATCCTTTTTTCGTCCCACTGTGGGGAAATGTCAGTGTTGCATCATCGGTTACAGAACAGTAGGAATGAGGAGCACTAAAATAAAATAGAATCTCTAATCTCTAAATAATACAGAAGCAGGTCTAAATCTCCAACTTTAGTATAATGAAGATACAAGAATTAAGTCTAAAATGATAATAACGATAACGATTTTAGTCTGCAAATGCACGCTCTGACATTCGACCCTATCCTAATGACTGAGCCCTTTGTGTCTTCACATCGATGCTGGAAGGACAAATTCCCAATAATCATCCTGTTTGTGTTGTCTCTGTAGTTGCCGCAGTAACATATTTCCCTCAGCCAAACACCACATGTCAATACAGACACAATCCTCTCCAGAGCTTCAGGCTAAAACGGGCTAATTGAGAAGCACTAATGATTCACTGCTGGCATCAGGAGGCCATTACCCCACACACACACAGTATAGGTAAGGAAACATCAATGCATCCTCACTACTCATCCAAAAACCAAAACGCCAAAGTCAAAAACAGGGGAGGATGCAGCCCTGAGCTTTTCCATTAGATTTGATTTGGTACAAAACGGTAATTTTTGTGAACGGCAGGCGGTTGCAATTTGTGGATTTATTTTCTGTATGTAATGGGTTTAAGCATGAATGAAACGCACACATGATTGAAAAGCAAAGAAGAACCAGGTCAGATGATACTTGACTTGATTGACCTGACATTTCTGTGTAATGATAAATATGTCAATAAAACCAAATCAACTGTCAGAAAAAAAAAGAAGGCGACACTCATCACAAGTTAAAATGCCAAATCAATAGTAAACCGTGTCTGCGAAGATGCGTTAAGTTCTCTCACACAAATAGGCTTGTGTTGGTGTAATTGATTGACTGCGGAACCTTCCGCAGTCAACCATTGGTTTTGTATTTCTTTATTCCGTCATTTTTTTTGACACGTTTCACAGCTTTCACATTTTCAACAATTTCCACAAGTTATACATCAAAACGTTCCACATGTTTGGGAGATTATTGCTATTACTTTTGGGACTTCAGCGATTTCCGGTTTTTCCGCAATCGGACAAAAATCTGCATTGAGAATTCTGCAATGCATTTTAATAGGCCCATGCATTTTAATAGGACTTCAGCTCTTTCAGACATTTCTACAGTTTCAATGATTCAACAGTTTCAAGGATTCAACAGTTTCAAGGATTTCAGCAGTTTCAAGATTTCAAGAGTTTCAAGGACTTCAACAGTTTCAAGGACTTCAGCAGTTTCAAGGACTTCAGCAGTTTCAAGGACTTCAGCAGTTTCAAGGACTTCAGCAGTTTCAAGGACTTCAGTGTAATCATGCAACCTAATAGGGATTTTTCCATGTAAACCAGTATAATGCAACTTAATAGGGATTTTTCCATGTAAACCAGTATAATGCAACTTAATAGGGTTTTTTCATGTAAACCAGTATAATGCAACTTAATAGGGTTTTTTTTCATGTAAACCAGTATAATGCAACTTAATGGGGATTTTTCCATGTAAACCAGTATAATGCAACTTAATAGGGGTTTTTACATGTAAACCAGTATAATGCAACTTAATAGGGTTTTTTCCATGTAAACCAGTATAATGCAACTTAATAGGGTTTTTTCCATGTAAACCAGTACAATGCAACTTAATAGGGATTTTTCCATGTAAACCAGTATAATGCAACTTAATGGGGATTTTTCCATGTAAACCAGTATAATGCAACTTAATGGGGATTTTTCCATGTAAACCAGTATTATGCAACTTAATAGGGATTTTTCCATGTAAACCAGTATAATGCAACTTAATAGGGATTTTTCCATGTAAACCAGTATAATGCAACTTAATGGGGATTTTTCCATGTAAACCAGTATTATGCAACTTAATAGGGATTTTTCCATGTAAACCAGTATAATGCAACTTAATAGGGTTTTTTTCATGTAAACCAGTATAATGCAACTTAATAGGGTTTTTACATGTAAACCAGTATAATGGAACTTAATAGGGGTTTTTACATGTAAACCAGTATAATGGAACTTAATAGGGGTTTTTACATGTAAACCAGTATAATGCAACTTAATAAGGATTTTTACATGTAAACCACTATAATGTAACCTAATAGGGGTTTTTTACATGTAAACCAGTATAAAGCAACTTAATAGGGATTTGTACATGTAAACCAGTATAATGCAACCTAATAGGGATTTTTCCATGTAAACCAGTATAATGCAACTTAATAGGGATTTTTCCATGTAAACCAGTATAATGCAACTTAATAGGGATTTTTCCATGTAAACCAGTATAATGCAACTTAATAGGGATTTTTCCATGTAAACCAGTATAATGCAACTTAATAGGGATTTTTCCATGTAAACCAGTATAATGCAACTTAATAGGGATTTTTCCATGTAAACCAGTATAATGCAACTTAATAGGGGTTTTTACATGTAAACCAGTATAATGCAACTTAATAGGGATTTTTCCATGTAAACCAGTATAATGCAACTTAATAGGGGTTTTTACATGTAAACCAGTATAATGCAACTTAATAGGGGTTTTTCCATGTAAACCAGTATAATGCAACTTAATAGGGTTTTTTTCATGTAAACCACTATAATGCAACTTAATGGGGATTTTTCCATGTAAACCAGTATTATGCAACTTAATAGGGATTTTTCCATGTAAACCAGTATAATGCAACTTAATAGGGTTTTTTTCATGTTAACCAGTATAATGCAACTTAATAGGGTTTTTTTCATGTAAACCAGTATAATGCAACTTAATAGGGTTTTTTCATGTATAATGCAACCTAATAGGTTGCATTATACCACCAGACCAAGACCCAAACGAAGACTCAGACCACCACCAGATAATGACCACAGACCAGGTTTCCTTAGTTACAGGAACCAAATTGTTTCAGCGGTGAGGGGATTTTTCAGTTTCAAGGACACTTTCAATACATTCAGTAGTTTCAAGGATTTCAGCTGTTTAAGAATTTAACCAGTTTCAAGGATATCAGGAGGTTCAAGGATTTCAGGAGTTTCCACACTTTCAACAGTTTCCAGGTTTAAAAAAGTTTCAAGGATTTCAGGAGTTTCAATGTTTCAACAGTTTCAAGGATTTCAGGAGTTTAAAGGTTTCAACAATTTCAAGGACTTCAGGAGTTTCAAATATCTATCAAGTATTTTAACAGTTTCAAGGCTTTTTAAAGGATTTCAAGGATTTTTTTTAGCAGATTTCCACATTAGATCTGTTCCGCAGTCAATCGCAATGGCTTCAGCCATTGCAAGTTTCTAGTTATTAGTGATGTTTGAGTAAGTCACTATTTAGATATAGGATTAGTTAACTCATTGACTGCCACGGACGTATTTGGCTGAGACTGGTGATTTCTGTCAAACTTCTCTCTATTTGACTGAAGATTGCAGCAGAACAAAACTAGCTAGATACCAACGTACAGATGAAAGTAGATGGTCCAATCTTTCAGAATCTGGTTTCATATTTTTCATAGTCACAGCACACAATAATCTGTGGGTCTTGAAAGTCAGCGAAATCATCAAAAACGGCTGGCAGTCAATGAGTCAACTAGAACGTTTTTGCTTCGATTATTTAGCCCAAACCAGACACAGGCCCAAACACTCCCTGACCCTATACCTCTCTCCCATTCTCACCCACTAGTTTACTATTTTACAGATACATAAATCACTAGTAATCATAAAATTCATTACAGAAAATGTGTAAGGTCACCAGAGAAAAGGAATTGCTCTTGGTGTTTGTAAGTGTATTTAATAATGATGTTTTAGTACGTATTTATTTAAATATCAAACATATATATTTCATACTAAATAAAACAAGATACAAAAAAGAACTGCTTTTACGTTTATTTGGCTCCAACCTCTCTCCATCATTCAACACAAAACACACATTCACTCAGACAAGACAAAACACAGACCCAAACACTCCCTGACCCTACACCTCTCTCCCATAATCGCCCACTATACTATTCTACAGATACATATATCACAAGTAATTATAACATACAAAAATAATTCTCTTGGTGTGAAGAAGATGTAATAGAAATGTCTCGTGTTTTATGGAGGGTGAAGGTCGAAGGTTCAGGATGAATGGCTGAGACGATCGAGATGTGTGTGAACTACTCTAGCAGCACTCAGAATTATTATTATAGATCATTTTACTGCGCAAATATGTAGAGAGTGAATCAACACATTAGGAGCAGAGCTATCTCTTACAATGTTTCCACCTTTTGTCCGTTTCCATTTGAATTAAAACCTAAAAGGTAAAACCGTTTTTTGTTGTAGTCTTTACTTCTAATTATGAATGGTGCAATACAAAAAAAAACAAAGAAAGAAACAGATATATACGTGTTAGGGCTGCACAATATTGGAAATTAGAGCGATATTCGAGTGTTTAGTATTTCGATAACGATATTATTGCGATATTTTTGTCTTTCACCTAAAATTGTAATCTGCATTGAAACGCAAGAAACAAATAAAAACAAATAAGCTCAACATTAAAGACATTCAAATGCACATATTTATCTACTTTTTTGTTTGTTTGTTGTTTTTGTTGAATGTTGATGTGTCCGTCTGTTTTGTTGTCTTTAATTTAAAAAAAATACGAAAATTACTGCGCATCTTTTCGAATTTTAGATATTGCACGTACCAATATCGCAAAAACAATATTTTTTTGATATATCGTGCAGCCCTAATACATAAACACAATTTGAAAAGGAGTAGGCAGAAGTAAAACTGATTATATGTACTTTCTTTTACAGGATTTCAAATTATTTAATTAAATTTACAGTACGAACTTACATAAACATCCGATAATTCTCGTGACACTCGTTACCATAAACAGTCATGTGATAGAGGATGATCAAACACCAGTCATGTTCTAGGATCTTGTTGACACGACACATGTTTTTTTTAACTGCGATCATCTCCTGACACGACTTTTGCCAAAAACTTGTGAGAGTGTGTATATTAATCTGTGGATTATAGAAATGCTCTGATCCAGTTTGTTCTAATCCACTACAGCCTCATCTTTACACAGCACTTACCACTGCTCTACTGCAACGCCACGTCTGCTCCCCCAGTGAGCGGCCACCACTCCCCCTATAGCTCGGCGCCGCAGGCCACGATTGATCCCTTCTGTTGTGTTTCTCCTGCTGCTACTAACACACTAAATGGCTCTGCGCTTATGTAACCGCCCGTGCTTTGTAGGTTGGTTCATAATTACACAAGTTTTAATCAAATTTCACGGTAGACAAATGTAATTGATGCATTCAATAAGCGCGCTCTCTCGTTTTTTCCGAAGCTGAGGAAAAGGCAGTGTAAAACATTTGTTATGAAGCTCGACTCCACATTAAGCAGAGTGTTGTGATGCACTGTGAGACTAAAAATAAGTTTCTGGCTCTGAACAGTCCATGCTCTGAACGCATCAAACGTGCAATATGTTATGAATATGAGATCAATCCTTTGCATTTGCTTCACCAGTCAGAAAGTTAGTTATACTGACTTTAATATGCTAAAGTCAGAGATTTTGTACTTAATTCTTACTTTGTTATTCTGCTAAAGTCACAGATTTTGTTCCAAATTTTGTACTACTTTATTATTCTAAAGCCAGAGATTTTTTTACTTTATTCTTACTTCATTTTGCTAAAGTTGGAGATTTTAGATTTGATTCCTTTTTATGCTAAAGCTATATATGTCATACTTGCTTCTTCTAAAAATAGATTTTATTTTATCCAAGTATAGAGTAATTGTTAATTTATCTTGTGCTGTGTGCTCCTCATTCCTACTGCTCTGTAACCAGCGATGCAACACTGAAATTTCCCCACCGTGGGAAATGCCTCTCTTAATCTTAATCCAACATTAGGACAAAAGGTTAACGCTGGGTTTGGTGTTCTCCGCAGTGCTCCTTCTTGCCCAAGTTTTCCATCCACATCGAGACAAAATACGAAGACAACAAAGGCACCAACGACCATGTGAGTAAAGCGGATTTATGGAGCTGTGATCGTCAGAACGGGTTTAAAGCTGTCGAAAACAGAACTGCGGCTGAGGGTATAGTCTGGATTCACAGCTGCCTCTCTCTGTTCCTCCCACATTCACAGGGCTGTATAGTCTCTATGGGAGCGCTCCTATCACATTCTGAGCCTTACACAAGAAAAGTGCCATCTACATCATTGCATTTGGTGTTTTATAACCAGCTACTTTTGTGGGCACAGCTTTGAGTTGAGAGTTGTATATTGTGTGTTTATGAATAAAAAGGGCGACCTCAGATGTTAAGGAGATACGCTTTCACCCGAGGAAGGTTATTCACGAGTGCGTTTTAAATTGGTGCTTGAACTCGAGTCTCGTTTTGCATTCTGTACGCTGAATTAGCAAATCGCTTCTTCATTTTGTTTCAATTTTTCACACAATTAAAGCTGAGGTGTCTAACTTTCCCTCCATAGATAATGCATTGTGTCATTACATGCCGTCTTCATCTTATCAGAAAACATGTCATTTTTTGCCTACTTGTAAGAAAGTGCCCTGTGAGTCTCCGTTTGACGCTTTGGGTAGTCATCTTATATATTATATTTATCCATAAATTTACACCAATATTAGTTGTTAACATATGCGTATATATATATATATATATATATATATATATATATATATATATATATATATATATATATATATATATTATATTATATGAAAAAAATATTCAGATTCTGATAACATTAAACAAACATATGAATTTGGATACTTGTTCATTTTAAGTGGCATCTTCCCCATCAGCAGAGTGAAGAGCAGGTTTGATAGTTGCAGCAGCAGCAGTCTCCACATTGGCCTAAGAACAGTCTTATGCAATCCCTCTCTAAATACAAGGACCACAGCGCCACCCAGTGTTTGAGTGTGAGAATCACATTTGAGTTCACCCACAGATGGCCACATTGATTTGAAAAAGGAACAAATGGGGGGTTTTCAAAGTGAGTGAGTGGTGTTTACTCACAAGTTGGATCTTTTCTCTCTTTTCTATCTGAAAAAACGCATCCGTCCCTCAATGTCTGTGTGTGAGGAAGCTTGTGTTTATGCAGTCAGATGTCTGCGTTGGTTTCTGTCACTCACGCTGAAATGTGAACACTTTTCTGCTAAAAACTCTACCAATATTCTGGGTCTCTTTCGTCACACACATCTGCTGTTCTTCAAACTATCTCTTCCACTGCTCGATTTGTCAACCTGTCATAAGCATTATTGATAAACCTGTCTTCATTCATCACCTGTGCACAGATCTTTGGCGGAGAACCCAGAGAGGAGGAGACCGAGGTGTGTGTGGTGGATATCGCTTATGACGAGCTCCCCGAGCGCCACTACAAAGAGTCAGAGGTGAGAGCTCTGCATTTATTCAAATCAAAGAAGAAAAGGAAATGTTTCTGAACATAGAGGTCAGACAGTATGTTGTTTTGGTCAACATTCACATAATTGTATCAGAAATCTTTTATTGCAACTATACCTTAATTTAGTAGTAGTAAAAGTTTGATTGTCTTATTTTGACTATAAACTTGTTCAGCTGTTTAGTCAGAGTTACAAATCAAGGGGTATGTTTTTTTTTTATTTATTTAGGCTTTATATGCAAGCACATGATCTATAAGTGTTAATACCTATCAATTCAGGTGTTGAAATGCAGGTGCAAAGTAAAACAGTGTGTACAATGTTACAAGAAAGAGATTTATTACTATACACACAGGGGGAACCTAGAAAATGAATATATGACAAACACATTATTTGCAAAGTGAGATCTATAAAGCCTTTGCTTGTTTTAATGCTGATCCTTTTGTACACACACTTGTATATGAGTCTATATCATGAACACATTTTAAGTTCCATCCATCCATCCATTGGGGGGGTGGCCAGAGATGCCACCCAGTCCACAGAGCACCAGCCCCTCACTGATCCTCCTGCAGGTGGTGAGTCCACAGGAAGATTTTAAGTTGAGTTAGAGAAATGAATAAACTTTTGTTAGTGTAGTAAAATTTGTTTACATTTCGTGTTTGTCGACCCACTGCAGCAGCTCTGTCTTAAACCATAAAACAAATAACCTTTTTTCATTTAACGAGTGGAACATTGCATTTATTAATAAGGTATTGAAATCCCAGTAGGTTATTGTTTCAGGCCCCATGTGTTGAGATCATATCACACTGAGACAAAAGCTGTAATAAATGTGAGGATAATGATAGTGTTGCTAAGGGCCCTCAGTGAGCCGTGACAGTGACTGAGAAGTTGTTTACAAACTGCGGGAGGCACGGCTGCCCTGGACATTTGTTTTTGAGTGAGATGGTCGTGTAAAGAGCTGTTATATTATTAATAGTCACATGGGGTTTGGACAGGGCACCAGTGACACATGGCCCAGCAAGGGGTTTTATGGTCTTACACACGCTCGGCCAGGAATAGTCTGGACACAGCTTCAACCTCCATGTTAATGTGTATTGACAGGAGAGAAAAGGTGTTACCCATAAGCGCTCCGGGGAAAGATATATTTATATATCTTTCCCCTTACAGAACTTACAGAATTTTTAATAATCAATCACTCTTTTGATATGTTCCAGTCTGGTTTTAGACCCCACCACAGCACAGAGACCGCTCTAGTGAAGGTAACAAATGACATCAGACTTAACACTGACGCAGGAAAAGTCTCAGTTCTTATCCTGTTAGATTTAAGTGCTGCTTTCGACACTGTCGATCATGGTATCCTCATTCAGAGACTTGAGGACTGGGTTGGTGTTTCTGGAACAGCCCTAAGCTGGTTTATATCCTACCTACAGGACAGAAAGTATTTTGTGGAGATCGGAAACTGTATCTCAGACCATCTGGCCCTAACCTGCGGAGTGCCACAGGGATCAATCCTGGGGCCTCTCCTGTTTAATATTTACATGCTGCCTCTGGGTAGGTTAATACACAGTAATAACGTGTCCTATCACAATTATGCTGACAATACTCAGGTCTATGTGTCCCTGACAGCAGGAGAACATGGACCAGTGGACTCGCTCCTTCACTGTATCCAACAAATCAGTGATTGGATGCAAAATAACTTTCTCCAGCTAAACACAGAAAAAACTGAAATTATTGTTTTCGGACCTCAAAAACAAAGAGAGCGTTATCTGCCACCTCCAGTCTCTCTCCCTAAAACCCTCAACTCAGGTCAGAAATCTAGGAGTAATAATGGACTCAGACTTAAATTTCAATAGCCACATATCATCTGTGACATCATCAGCTTACTTCCACCTAAGAAACATTGCTAAAATTAAAAACATTGTGTCTAAAGCAGACTTGGAGATTCTTATCCACGCATTTGTCTCCAGTCGATTGGACTACTGCAATGGCTTGTTCACAGGTCTCTCTAAACAAGCGGTAAAACAGCTGCAGTACATCCAAAATGCTGCAGCTCGAGTCCTGACTAGAACCAGGAAGTAAGACCACATTAGTCCGGTCCTCAGGTCTCTGCACTGGCTTCCTGTGGCTCAGAGAATAGATTTTAAAGTAGCTTTACTTGTGTACAAGTCTCTCCATGGCCTCGCACCAGGGTACATCCGCGACATGTTGGTGCCATATGAACCAACTCGGGCTCTGAGGAGCACAGGGATTGGACTTCTGTTAGTGCCAAGAGTCGGAACTAGACATGGGGAGGCTGCGTTTCAGATTCATGCAGCTAGAGTCTGGAACCGTCTTCCCGAGAGTGTGAGACAGGCGTCTACTCTAGCAGTTTTTAAAACTGAACTGAAAACAGTTCTTTTTAGCTGTGCATACAAGTGAATGATTTTATATTTGTTTTTATCTTTAATCTTTTTAATGCGCTATGATTATTTATGATTATTTATGATTGTAATCCCTTGTGTGATTTTAATGTTTTACGGTTTTTAACTACTTGTGTGATTTTATATATCTTGTGCTCTTAATCTGTCTTTTTATGTTTACTTAAATTCTAATGTTTGATGATTTATGCATGATGTTATATGGGTTGTGAGGCGCTTTGCGTTGCCTTGTGTAGGAAAGGCGCTTTATAAATAAACGTTGATTGATTGATTGATTGATATATGCAAACACAAATAGGAAAGGTTTACACACTCTCAAATGTGGACGCTGCTTTATTTTAGAATTTAAAAAAAAGAAATTCTATTAAATGTATACATCTTTTTATATTGCAGCTGGGGTATCTCATTTTCAACCTGTAAATTGTGTTTACTGTTGTGAAATCTCACCTGGCAAGGCAAGTAAGTTTATTTGTATTGCACAATTGACACAAACGGCATCTGTATTACTGCTAAATATTATTATCTGAAGAATCAAACATCTTTGTCCTGACCCACATTGCTAACTAGTATTTATATCTTAAGCATCGGTGTCATTAATATCTCAAGGATGACGTCTCTGTTCTTATGCACAGTAATACACATCATATAAAAAGCTTTTTGTCTTCTTTTGTTCTCACTGGAATAACTTGAAAATAAACCGAGGGTTACAGGTGTGAGAGATCGCTGCTGCCCCGGTCTTCATTTCTCCAGCCTGTATATAAAACCATTTGATTCTACATCACTAGCTTTCTCATCCAGGGTTTTCCGCCAATTTTAGATCCGCTTTGTCAGACTGTAAAATGAAGTAGTAATAACCTCTTATTTTCTTGCACATTCACAAATGATCAAATGCAAGATAAAAACGCAGGATGTTGGGGCCTTATTTCGCAGATATCTGCATTTACCAGGGTCTATCCGTAGCAACAAATAATATTGAACGGTAAAAAATGAGTACTTCAGCAAAAAGACTTAATTGCAGCAAGCTAGAGCAACTACATAACTGTCCTGATGACATATTCAGAGGAGAAACATCGTAGAATCAAAGGATCTGGAGATTTGTGTGTGAAGTGTAAATTCTATTCAACTACTGTATTAATGTCAGTATATGATGACACGCTACTCTTAATATAACCAAGTACTTTCTGCACCAATATTTCCTCTTTACCTCATTACCTTCCATCAGCTATTGTGCGAGACACCCAAATATCAAACATGAAACTGCATTTGCTCTTCTGATGCCTCCGCTGATAGCTTCACAGTCCCCTCAGTCCCATTCACCTCCTGTGCCAGCGTTTTCCCAGCGGGACAGCTCCCTTCCACACACAGCACACCACAATAAATCAAATGAGGCTGAAGACTTCTCCGGAGAGCAGCGATTATGTAAAGTTTGCGCTATTTGTTTTATTCATCACTCCTGCTGTGTAAATGAGTTCACACAGAGGTAGACCTGTCACAATAACTCATGTTGATAGATGATATTGCTTCTGAAAAGTATTGCGATAAACTATAACATTGAATTTTGAAACTTTATGTAACTTTAAGTAACTGATGCAAGGACAATGCAGTATTTGCAGGGGCAGCAGTCTAAGCAGAGACGCCCAGACTTATCATAGTCCTGTAACTATTTTTGTTTATTTTTTTAAGATAGACCTAAGTGGCACACACACTGTAGTTAGCAGCAGGGGTTTCACATTTACAGAGGGTTGGTGTTGTACTGTTATAGAAATCTGATTTGTAAAGCAGCTAATACTTTAGCAGCAGAAAATATGACCAAAAGGTAACACAACATGCTTCACAGCTCCTTTTATGTGTATCATAAACATCACACAGGGCATTAAAAACATAAACATTAAAATTACACAAGGTATTAAAAACAGACATTAAGAAAATGGGATTAAAATCATAATAATCACATTGCATTAAAAAGAGAAAAGAGTTCAGTTGTATGCACAGCCACATTTTCAGGAAGGCTGTTCCAGATTTTAGCTGCATACGTCTGAAATCCTTCACTTATATTGAAAAGTAAAGTCCTCCACCTCAGTGACCATTTCAGTCTCACTCACCATTTTGGAATTAGAAATCTGCGGTTTAACGTGTCATTAAATTTGATCATGTCTGTGCAAATCCAGAAATTAGCATTCGCAACTGACCAATCAGTTGACTTCTGTCCCGACCAGTAACATTCTGATTGGTTCTTTGGTTGCTAGGATGTTGCTATCTACGGCATACGTTAATAGAGCTTACTAAACGACTAACAGTCTATGGTCGATATGTGGCAGAACGACTCTGCAGTTGACTCTCCTCGAACCCTAGATCTTTGCCAAACAGGTTCTGGCAGAAAGAGAACCTGATTCAGTGGGTGGGTAAAACGGAGAGAAGAAGAATCCTGCTTTTCTTTCACTGAAATTTGAAGCCCTTTTAGTTTAGGGAACTCGGGATGTTCTGAGGAGGGCAAGGTGGAGTGTTCCTGAAGAAATATGGAACGTGCGGCACGGTGGCTGAGTGGATAGCACTCTCGCCTCTCAGCAAGAAGGTCCTGGGTTTGAATCCCGGTCGGACCAGGGCCCTTTCTGAGTGGAGTTTGCATGTTCTCCCCGTGTCTGCGTAGTTTCCTCCTGGTACTCCGGTTTCCCCTACCACTAAAAACATGTACAATAGTTCTGGCATGCACCTCCTGTTCGGCGAGCCCGCTCCCATCTCTGTGTGGAGTGAGAGACAAGTGCCCAAAAATAACAATTGTAAACCGCTTTGTGACTCTGGTCTGTGAAAGGCGGTATATAAATAAACATTACTTACTATGGAACATTTGAACAATATGATGTGTATTTTGTTTACATTATTAGACGCAAAAAGTGAACTCCACATGTCTGATTTGCATAGACAGCAGCATTGAGGATGTATTTGAATATTCGGTTCCTCATACAGATCGAAATCACTAATTGTGTGTAATTAATCTACATAATTGAACAGTACTTTTTAAACGTTCATGATATTACAATTTTGAATCATCTCTGTAAGTTACCAAATAGATTCTACTGCACTTGGATTATTATTCTGCCATTTTGGGTATGTTTTACTGTGTTGAAAATGTAACCCTCTCTGTTTTTGTTTTTTAAGGATCTGCGTTATTTCAAGTCCAAAAAGACTGAGCGTGGTTTGCTTCCAGAGGGATGGATGGACACCCAGGACCCGATCATGTGTTCCTACAAACTGGTTTCGGTGAAGTTTGAAGTCTGGGGCTTACAGACGCGTGTCGAACAGTTTGTGCACAAGGTCAGAGGAAAGTCTCAGCTCCATCTGCTCTGGTCATGCCCCGCACGTAGCTACATTTCAGTATTTCTTATTCCCATAATCTTATCTCCCGTCACAGCATCTGTCCTGAGAGCTGGCTGCCAGTCTGCTTTGCCTCGGGCTCATACATACATGCCAAGCCATTACTCACACAGTATCTTGGCACAACTCACATACATCATGTCTCTGAAGAATCATTAATAATTAAATAACAACTCCATCTTTATATAAGCCGTTCCTACTCTTAAGATTTATATATATTTTGTGTCTTTAGGTGATTCGAGATGTTCTCCTGTTAGGACACAGACAAGCCTTTGCCTGGATTGATGAATGGATAGGTAAAACACTTTATTTCCAATGCATGATGTGAAAACCTTTTATTTTCACGACTGCATAAAACTTGGCTTTTCACAACCAATGTTCCTCCAATCCTCGTTCATCAATTAGAAGATATTGATCCATCTCTTTGAAGCTGCTTCTTTCATTTTTTTTCCATCTGTTAATGTATCAAGGATTACCCACCAGATACATCTGAATGTGTAAATTATTCATCTGGAAAAACTGTATTCATTTATTTTATCTCTGACCTTGATGGATTTCCAATACTTCTGAAAAATATATAATTGGATTTTGCAGATTTGTACACTTATATATATATGATTTACATATTGATGTGCCATCGGGACAAGCGGTTAAGCCTTTTTTAAGAGTCCCATTGGCAGATAAAATGTTTTCTTCTTCAAGCTTTTTTGATTTATTTTGTGTCACTATTTGTTATAACTGCGTACAGTGCAATTATATACATGTAAGGAAATTTGTAGATGCAGTATGATTTTCCGCTGAATTCAGTATGTGTTTTATCCCCACAGATATGACCATGGAGGAGGTCCGGGAGTATGAACGAGCCACACAGGAAGCCACAAACGAGAAAATTGGCTCCTTTCCTCCAGCCATCTCCATCACTGAGACCCCATTACCGATCAACTCACGAAACGGCCCCAGCAGCGCGCCCTCCACTCCCCTGTCCACTGAAGCACCCGATTTCCTCTCCGTCCCAAAAGATCGACCCAGGAAGAAGTCTGCACCCGAAACCTTAACCCTACCCGATCCAGGGCGACGGGACTCCCTGTTTAAACTCCCCAGCTTTTTCTCATGGAATTCTAGTCCACAACCCGAGTGAGACGAGGCCGATGTGACAAGTGTTGAATCTCTAAATGTCCCGTGGATGAGAGGTGGATGACTGCACAGCACATCCCCTAAACGCCCCCCTGCCAGCTCAAGTGAAGCAGACTTCTCTCTGGCCTGGTGATCCCAGCCCCCCCTGCACGCCAGAAGACATGCCGGCGATGCTGATACATGCCAGATCTGCTCCTATGCTTCTGAAAGCCGATGGTGCACCTTACGAGGAGTTTCTTCCACAGAAATCAAAAACTATCTGCAGAAAACGTTCAATATTAGTTTACATTCCTTTAGTTCTACACATTTATTTTGCCCTCTGGCTGAACAGTAGGTCGCCTATGTATTTACTGTATGTTGGATGTAAGTGAGGCTTGTGTACTTATGTAAAATCATAGCAAAACATGCAAGTGTGTAGAATCCGAATGATTGCAGTAATGCTGCCCCCTTGTGTTTTAATTCTTTAACTGTAAAAATAATAGTATATCTTTGTGGCCTGGGCTTTAAGCATGTGAAGCAAGTGAAGTTAGTGACATGATGTTCTGCTCTGATGCCCACAGATTGTGCGGTATTTTCCAATGTTTATGTCAATTTTCAGTTTATGTAAATAATGAGTGTAAATTGTTGTCCAACTAAAATAAAGACAAGGCTATGGTCTCAAAATGTTACCTCTAATATATAACTCCACAAGTATTGAACATATGTGTAAAGGCTGTTGCATATTGCCTGGACTGGAATAGATGGTTGAATATTATATGTCATAATAACAAGAACCTGCAGATTAATTTATAATGGACTAAGAATAGAAGTTATTAACAATTTCAACATTTAATTCAGTAAAATACAATATAGTGTAGTACAGATGTATATGAGAAAAAATAAAATGGTGTAAAATGTTAAATGACGCTCCCTTTAAATTCCACCTAAACAAACCCTTTGCACAAAACGGAAAACAAAACATATTACACAAAATATCTTCAAAATACAATACATTTGTCAGGAAGAAATAAATATGTTATCTTTTGCCAGTGTTACAGGTAAACATGATGCTTTCCTTATTTATATGAAAAGTCTCGAGTGCAAGCGAAGAAAAGGGCAAGTCTCTTTGATGTGTGATTTTTTTTTTTTCCTTCTTGACTATCTTTGCTTAGGATCTTGTGTGAGGCCATTCAACCGTCTTGATTTAAGGTCACGCATTACATCGAGGAAAGATTCATACCAAAAAAATGTGAAGCCAGTTGACAGGGCAGCCTTCAAAAGACTGGGGGAGAGGCCTTTAAAAAACCCTGGCAGACCTTCTTCTTTGGCAATTTGAGCAGCGCAGTCCAGCAGGCCTTTGTAAATGTGCACCTGCTCAGACAACATTTTTTTTTAAAATTATAACATTGTATGTACATACTGAGGGCATAAAGAGAGAGTCCACTGACAATATACCTTTCCAAAGTTACGGCGAGCCTCCTCAAAGCCCCCAACCTGCAGTCGCTTCTTGAAAAGATCAAAAGGGTATGTGATTGTCTTACTGATCATTCCAGCTCCACTTCCACTCAACAGGCTGTGCAGGTTTCCTGAACAACAAACATGACATTTAAGGAAGTATCTTATTTTAAGTTACACATAGATGATTTATCTGTGTCCCGAGTATAAAGGTCTATAAAATACAAATCATAAATCAGACTTTTATATTCTTCATTAAAAATACAATGGACGTGATGGCCATATTATTTATGGTTATGGTTCTCAAGATGAGTATCCAATAAAGCAGAATGAGGTTCTCATTTGAGTCTGTGTATATTATGGCAATTTATTTTGGTATTATTGAAAAGCAAAATCTATGTGAAACCAGAATCAAAATTTAAATTTTGTAAGAGCTCTACATACTGTGCCTTTAAGCAAATGCATGTTATGGCCTTCACTAACCTCCAGAGTTTCCAGCATTAGGGGCAGGAGCCAACTTTTTTTTAAATACATTGTAGAAAAAGAACTGCAACCCAGCATACGGAAACACAGCCATGAGTGTTGGAGACAGGCCTCGGTAAAATGTTAGTGGCCCCTCAGAGCGACTCATTTTCAATACTGCATGTCGAAGATTCCTGTAAATCTAAAGTGTTAATTAATATTAGAAAAATAGGTGATGGATGTATTGATATGAACAGATATTTAATTACATCTACCTTAGGTTCCCCTTGAGCTGCAAACCGAGTACGCAAAGTGTCAAGAGGCTGACAGACAACGGTGGCGGAGCAGGCAGCGAGGCCTCCACACAGAAAGTGCACTCCTGATGTTTGACTGTCAAATGACGTTGTCTTGTGGACAACCTCCGTCAGAAACTCAAAACTTGCAAACTATACAGCAAACATTTATTTATGAGACACGTAGCCATCCATATTCTGTATAGTAAAACAGAGGGGATTTCTACCTGTACAGCCCCATATGCAATAGATAGAAGCTGTGCAGGGATGTGTCCTTTCCAAAACGCAGACAGGCCTTCCTCTCGGTAAATGCAGCGAAATGCCTGAAATATTCCACTGTACTTTCCCTCAGGTTTCTTTGAAGACACACGCTCAACCTGGAGCTAGAAAAATGAATTAGGGTGTTTACACATTCATTTCCATTTAAATGATCGACTTTAAAGGCCTCTATACCTGAAATCTTATTTTAATTACATCAAAAGGACTGATGAGGACTCGTGTGACCATCCCAGCAGCTGACCCTGCCAGGGCAGAATCTTCAGGGGATAGAGCTGCATCCTTACGGGGGTCATAGCCCACCATGACCCCTCACACTCAGTGACTGAAGAAAACAATTCGACATATTATTTCATTTTAGTTATGTTTCAGCTTCTTGGTGCATGGCTTTTTGTTTTGAAACATATTATAGCGACACAAAGATTCCTGTCATTGAATAGCCACATTCGCACTTATAAGTGTGAAAAGTCACAGTATATTTTACACAGTAATGACACTAGTATGTTGGCTCTAGCTACATTAGCATAACAATTGCATCGTCTAAAATGAGAGAAGATGGGGTGTAAAGGTGGCACAATGCAGACTTATTTACAGGACATATGCATGCACCTCTAGAAAAGAATTTTAACTAAAATGTCCAAGTTGACACAGAGGACATGCTAGGCTAGCAACAAAAACATGAGCATTAGCTTAGCACGTCTACTTGTGTTACTCTCGGTAAATGGTTAAAAAAAATTAAGCTGTGCACTTGCCTTACAATGAACGCCCTTGTCATTGAAACTCTACAGCATTGTCAGATCCAGCTCAAGACGAACCTGCACAAAACCACAACATTTACACACCCCTCATGCTGCTACTGCTTCCGGTTCACGCAATTCACGTTACATTATTTTAGTTTATGTTTGGAGCAGAGAAGTTGAATGGTTTCAGTTATCAGTAATAGTTTATCTCGTCCACCTCATATATACATATATAACAGCTTTATATAAATATAGATTTGATTCCGCGCAGTGCTCATGAATGTTGTTGTTGTACAAGAGTTCCTGAGTTGGTATTTACAGGGACTGTAGGATCATAAACTGTGATTCGATTAAAATTCCATATAAAACACCTGATTATGAATGCACGCACGCATGTGATTAATTAAAACGTTGTTGATAATAACATATTCCCTGATCTTCACTAATTTATGACACGCATTTAATGCTAATTTATGACTGTTGTAATGCCAAGGGCCGCGTCACGAGGGCGCTCATGAGTTGCTGCTCCACCACAGTCGACGAGACCATCACGAGCTACCCATCTTTAACTGAAGAGGATCGATAAAAAACAACTCTTTCAATGACCATTTAGAGTTCTCTGCACAGGTATGCAGAAAGAGCATAATAAGTTTCACGTTTGTCATTTTCTACATCTAATGTGTATATTTAATGGTTTCAGCGTGCACCACGTTAACTTCCCGCTAAAGTTGACGGGTTGCTAACGTTTTGTAGTCTACATTAAATCACCATGGATACGTTGCCGAGTTAAATATAGAAATGTAATGTGGTTCTACTTTGTTATTAATACATCTTGGTGTTTGGTAATCCACGCTAGCTCACTTTCATGCTTCTAATCGTGTCATCCTGCTGTAGTAGCCACCGTTTTATAGTTCATATAGTATATTTATTTGCGAGAACTGGTGTTTATGTTAGGCTTTTGGTTATAGGGCTGCAACGTAACGATTATTTTTGATAATCAATTAATTATAAATAGTGTAGTTGGTTGTTTAGATCGCCGTTATTAGATTAGAGCTGAAGGACTTTCTAATAGCCGAATGTCTAAATATTATCAAACTGTTTCATCAAAAAGTGACCTTTAGCTAACGCTACTCCTAGAGCTGTAATGAATGATTATTTAATATTATCCAAAAAGGTCAGTGAATGATATAGGATTTCTTTTCAAACATTTGACCAAAACATCCCTTAGAGATGACTTGTTACACATTGACGATTGTGGTTAAAAACATTTTAAATTAATTCCAAAGTCATTGTAGAATTATTATTAGAGTCCTATAACCTTGATTACTTTATTAACTTGTCACAGCTATGTCTTTAAACTACATATCTTGGCATTGCCTTGTTGTCTTTAATGTTGTTTAAGGCAACATTTAACCCACTTAATTCCATTGGTTTGGTCTAGGTTGGAACGATGGAAAACTCTGCTGAGGAATATAAGATCCAGTCATTTGATTTGGATACACAGGTGTTACTAAAAACAGCCCTAAAAGGTAATCTGCATTATTTATAAATACTTCTTGTACTATATTCTGCCACGAATGTTCCTCTCCTCCTACGTTTTAGATCCCAGCTCTGTCAATCTGGAGAAAGTATCCAATATTATTGTGGACCAGTCCATGAAGGATCAAGTGTTTAGCAAAGAAGCAGGACGTATTTGCTACACTATCGTTCAGGTTTGTGTCTAGTATTTATACATGTTTGGATTTTGTTCCTTCATCAGCGTAGTATGAACAACCGAGCCTGCATAATGTGTTTTATAAAGGCAGAGGCCAAGCAGAACAATGGGAATTTTCGTAGGAATCTTCTGAATCGACTCCAGCAAGAGTTCAAAGAAAGGGAAGAAACAAGAAAGCGCTCAGTTCAAGAATGGGTGTGCTATGTCACTTTTATCTGCAACATCTTCGATTACCTCAAAGTAAGACAGATAATAGAAGGTGTAATTGTTACTTTGTCTAATTCATGATTTGTTTTATTAGGTGAACAATATGCCAATGGTGGCCCTGGTGCATCCGGTGTATGATTGCTTGACGAGGTTGGCCCAACCTGATGCTCTGATGAATGAGGCTGAGGTAATATTCCCCATCGCCTGAGTTCATTCTGTTCAGATCATTATTAAGTGCGAGGACTCCAACCTTTTTTCACTGCAGTACAAAAATACTTTTGGTCATCAAAGATCAAGTCATTGCAATGTATGGTATTTTGGTCATAGTTTGAGTCTATAGTCTGTTCATTTTGTGCTAATTTCGTCAGCAAACAATATTACCCAAAATGTGAAGTTCCAAAATGGCTTTCAAGAACTTTAGCACTGAACAATATTTAATTTAAAAAACATGGAAGTCTGAGTTCAGATTTAATAATACAATTCAAAACTGTTTTCATTGTATTCCACCAAATATTTGCTGTAATACTTTACTTTAGGTGAAATAGGAAATGAAAGTCTCTTTTGTGCAGGTGGACTGCCTTGTTCTGCAGCTACACCGCATTGGGGAACAGCTGGAGAAAATGAACAGTCAGCGGATGGATGAGCTGTTCTACCTGCTGCGGGACGGCTTCCTGCTGCAGGACGGCCTCTCGTCTATGGCCCGACTGCTGCTCTTAGAGATACTGGAGTTCAGAGCGGGAGGTTGGTTGCTCAGTAGTACTGCCCATAAATACTACTATAGTGAAATATAAATACTGACATCTGAACAGGGTTAAGGATTGTACTGCCGACAACATTGTTCACCAGCCAATAGATTTAAGGCGTTGTTAAGGTTGTTTAGTTTTGAGGTATATATATTAGGACCTTTCTACTACCACACCAGGATGCAGTGAATGTGGAAAAACTACATCTTTTGACTGGTTTGTTTTCAGTTGGTTTACATTTTATAACATTGAAAATGTTCATTTTAGACATTCATTTTAACTAACCTATCCTTAGTTCTGTTCTTATTGGAATTAGCGTTCATCTCCTCTAAAAATCAATACAATTTTGAAGTATTGCTGTTATTGATTTTTTTTATGGTCTTATTTTTGTGCAGTGTTGTAAAATGTTCTCCTTTCATGTTGACTTTTGGAGAATGATCATTGATTAGTTTATAATAAACTTTGTTACTGAAACATCTTTATTGTTTTGTATGCAAAGAATATGCAAAAAAAATCTAGATTTTTTTTTTTTCTTCCAAAAGACAAACTGGCTTTGAATGGGGCAGCATACTTTGTAAAAATGCCACAGTATCTTACAGAGTGGGGGCAAGTACATAACATTGCTGTGCAGACAATCAGGGAAACGCCGAGCAACTGTCAGAACAATAAGAAACCCAAGGTGAATAAATCTAAATACTATGAATATTGTTACAAGGACATAGAAGTTGTGCTTCCTCCAAAGTTATGCAGAATTCAAAGCCCCATCACTGGTATTAATACCAAATGACACCAGTTATCCAATGCCGGGGGAGGCATGTAATTGGTTAATACATTTGTAATTATAAATGGTTGGTTTGCATCATTGCTTTGGTTGTACATTTTGTTGTTTCTAATAAATTATATTTTGTCAATTTGCGTACTTTGTAACAATCTTTCCCTAAACGTTTTGGCTGATGCACACGGCTTCTTTGAACTTCACAATTATAAGCATAAACATTTAAAAATCACATTCTCACAAATTATTAAACCGTTTATTTTAAATATTGTATTTACAAGTCTATAATTATGCAACACGTCACCACCAGCGATAATGGGCATACGCCCTGTTTGCTTCTGCCATTTTGTGTAGTTCATATTTCTTCTTTATTACATTTCCTTCTTTGTCATATGCAGCCAAAAGTTCCTGTGAAAGTTTCTCGTACATGTGGGTTCGCCTGTGCTTGTTCTCTCTGCATTCAGTTATCATCCACTTCATGGCAAGAAACCTTCGCCTGTTATCTGTGAGGGGTATGGGCACCTGTGGGGTCCAGATAAAAAGGAGTGAGTTTATTCCACATGTAACCTGTGCAAAAACACATTGACTAGACTACTGACCTGGTAAAACTTTCCACCCTTTTGTATGCTGGCCAGTCCCACCACAGGCTTACAGTTCTCAAGCGCCTGATGGAAGATGGTGTAAGGATTGCACTCAATCTCTTCCTTCTTTCCCGTTGGGGCTTTGTGATACTTCTCCACCTGTTTCCTCTTTATTTGCTCTAAAGTCTGACGGATAAATAAAAGGTTACAATTCGAGACAATGTAGGTTTTAATTATGTTCAGTTTCACATACATCTGTCACAATGGCTCTGGCCAAAACCTTCTCCCCGTTTGTCATTATCATGTTGATGAATTTACTACAGATTAGATAGCATTAGTAACGAAACAATAAAATAGGACACATTAAAAATATTCAAGTAGAGTCCAACCTGATGACAGGATCATCATACACAGAGCTGGAGAGGCCGCTGGGTGCAGCTTTGATCGGCCTGATCGCTTTGAGGTCCCGCTGCTCCTTCTCCTCTGCGCTTATCTCTGTCTCTGCACGGCTGTAGGCTTCTTTCCTCACCTCTGGCTCCAGATAATACGGGTTGTACCTGCTCCATCGCACCAGCAGCACTCTGCACAGTATAAATACGACCGACACATTTAAAAGCCATCCAATTACTATTATATCTAGCTATTCGTACATGTAACAGTGTAAACGTGTGTGTATCTTTGAGCGTTTCCAGTGATGGACACATGTTATGAAAGTACCTAGGTATCCAAGGTTTTAATAATCCTGTTACGGAGGCGGCCATCTTGAAAACGTGAACAGCCGAGAGGACCCCAATATCGTAGCTTGTGTATGTGCCTGAATTACACACAAATTATATATATATATCCAAGCGTTACATATTGCTGTATAAAGGCTAATGTTTATTACACGCATAATTATAGCTATGTTATTATATTGTGAAGTTGGGCAGACCAATAAATCACAGCTGAAGGTCCTCTACACAGCTGTGACGTCACAATGTTTTCAGTGCTATGGCGTACCAGGAAGGGGAGTCGCTTGAATCCTGGCTCAGTGAGTGATTAATCCTTTTTTATGAATGACAGAGTGCAGTTATCTGACGTGGTCTGTCGTGTGGCTCAAATAGGAAAGTTACTACGCGGGTGCTGAGGCTGACATGGCGCAAAAATGTCGTTTGGTCTAGTTTTGATAGGCAGGATGGGTGGAGAGCCTCGACAGACAACTCCGTGTAGGCAGCTCAACAACTCAGTTCGCATATGTTATTATTAGTTTGATGTTTTTTGTTATTAGGCTATGCCTATGCCCAACACAATACAATAGCTGTGAAATAGATCAAATAACGTGACACATCATTTCATTCATAGTTTCGTATTGGATGATTTGGATGATATGCTTTGCCTGAAGCATTTCTGCAGCCACATACCTATTAACATGTAGATCTGCAGCCTGTTGAGAATAGGAGGTGTCTCCATGATGTAAAAGGCACTTTCCTTTCAGCTATATTTGATTGTTATTCAGAGCCAAGATAACATGAGGACGTTTTTATGTTGTCTCTTAAAGCTGTACAGTACATATAGATATTACGAAGAGTTTGTTCCAACAGCAAGAATCTTGTAAAAGTCAAATATTGTGAACAAATCAGACCATACCATGTTGACTTTCTTTTCAGACAACGTGTTATCTTGTGCATCTTGTGGTTACTAAGTAGAAAAGGCCCAGTGAGTCACTGTTTGACGTTTTGGGCTGAGAGCTGATTGGTCATTACTCTCACTGGTCCTCTCTTTGTCACTTTTCTGTCCGAAAAAGTTGATGTAAAGATGTGAGTGATAGAGGCTGAAACTATATGCATGTAAACACAATTACTAGAACCAAACAGTTTTGAGAGTGAGGAACGAGTTATTGTTTGTGATTGTTTGTGACCCCAGCTTTAATTATATAAGAAGAGATACATGGTTCCCCGGTTCATATTATTGTGTCTCGTACAGATAAAGCCACTCACCCGACAAATAGGCAAGAAGACTGGGAGTACATAATTGGTTTCTGTGATCAAATCAACAGAGAACTAGAGGGGTAACTATTAAATAATTCACACTTCTACATAATAAGACGGTACAATTAAACTTGTTGTGTAGTCCACAGATAGCAGTAACACTTCTTGTACACAAAATCCACTCCCCACAGGAATGGGAGGCACTTCAAGCTTTGACAGTAAGATACACTAGCAACACATAACACCATGTGGCGTTGTAGACACTTTTTGTTTAAAGAGGAGTTGCTGTTTTTCTCATGCTAGGTGTTGGAAGCCTGCATGAAAAACTGTGGGAGAAGATTTCACAATGAAGTTGGAAAATACAGATTTCTAAATGAGCTAATTAAAGTGGTGTCACCCAAGGTAGGTCCAGGATGCTTATAATTAAAAACAGTTCATCACAAGTTACAATTGAATGCTTTTCCCAGTACATGGGTGACACTGCTCCTGAGAAGGTGAAAGCCAAGATTGTGGAGATGCTGTACAGCTGGACCGTGGCTTTCCCAGACGAACACAAGATTGCTGAAGCCTACCAGACACTCAAAAGACAGGGTTTGTATGAGCAGATGTTTGCAAGTTTGACAGTCTATGTATGCATATTTATACACTATGTTTTTGGTTTTAGGGCTTGTACCTCATGATCCAGAGTTACCATTAGACAAGACTTTAATTCCGTCACCACCAACACGACCAAAACATCCAGTTTTTGATAACGAGGATATGGGAAAAGTAAGAAGAATATTGAATATCTATTTAGGTATGTTTAAGTACTTATTGATATTCTCTTTTGGCAGTTACTAGCTGAGCTCCTACGAAGTAAAAACCCTGAAGATCTCCAAGAAGCCAACAGGTTGATTAAAAGCATGGTCAAGGAGGTATGATATATTTATAGTTCAGTGTTCCCCAACCTTTTTTGAGCCATGGCACACTTTTTTCGTGGACAACAATCACATGGCACACCACCAGCTGAATTGGAAGCAAAAATGAATCTCTCCCAGCCTTTATTATCAATGCAAATTCATTATAATGAATGAATGAATGAATGAAATATTTATTTCAAAACCTGCACACATAATTTTACAGAAAACAAAACAAAAGCAAAAACACCTAACACATAATCAAAGTGTAGATTATAAAAAAAGCACAAACTTTCAAACTGTCTTTCTACTTTATTTTATTTTGACCAATGAGGTAATGTTGGATAATTTCCGAAGGCAAACCAAACAACATCTCAAAGCAACACTGACATAGTTAACTCAACCTTGCAATGATTTCAATGGCTTGTTCATAGATAAGGATTATTATTATAAGTAATTGTTTTTACTTTAGGATGAGGTGCGCGCGCAGAAGGTAACTAATAGAATTCACACCTTGGAGGAAGTGGGCATCAACGTGAGGCTTTTAACAGAAATGCTGTCCCACTACAACAAGGAGAGCTCGTCTGACTCGGACAAAGAAATCATTAAGGTAGCGCAGCGTTATAAATTTATAAATCCACTGTTTTGGGAATTGGATTAAGCGTGAACAAGTCAGCTGATGTTCAACAACAACTGTCCTATTTTCTTTACACAGGATCTTTATGAGCGGTGTGACAAGCTGAGACGTGCTGCCTTCAAAATGGCCACCGAGTCTGAGGACAATGACGCAAGTTTAGGTCTGGAGCTTCTAGTTTGAATATGTATCTAATGAATATTTTCACACGATATTTTACAATTTCACTTTAGCGCTCAAAATCATGTAAAAAACGTAATTACTTTTTCCCAGGCGACATACTGCAGGCTAGTGATGACCTCTCTAGAGTCATCAGCTCCTACAAGAAGATTGTTGAAGGGTTGCCTATAAATGGAGACACAGAGGACCCCCACTCTAAAGCAGGGCGCTGTGAAAATGGTGAGACTTTTCCTCTAACAGAGAATCCAAACTGAGGAAATACAATGTTTATAAATCATATGAGAAGCTTAAGCATTTCGTTTTTCTTACTCTTCAGCCGAGACAGACACGCTCATCGATCTGGACGAAAGCGACACTCCGAGCCCCCCTCATCCAGCCGCTCTACTTTCTCAGCCTCCGGATCCCTTCTCAGCCCTGGTTGCTCCCGCCCCCATCCCCGCTCCCCAACAAGTGGCCGACTTCCTGTCCGGTGGAATTGTCTCTGCGTCTTTGTCTCTTCTCGATGATGAGCTTTTGTCTCTGGGTAATATTCATTTTACTGATGCAGTTCATCTTCATCATCAAGTTCAACAAAGAAATATGATGCACGTATAGCATATACGTACATGTTTTCATCGGAGAAAAACAAAAACAATACTTTCAGGGCTTGTTGATCTGTATCTCAAAACACATGATACTTACTAGATACAGGCTGTTTTGAATTCAACAAGATAGGATTCAGTAAAAAAACAAAGCCTGTTGCCTCTTATCCAACACTCCGCCACCTGTGCGCTAAAATGCAAATTTGTTGAAGATTATTAGTAGTTACAGTCAATATATCAACATATAATATACATATATTTACTATTTTTATATTTTATTTATTTATTTTAACACACACCTTGATGTATTAGTGTAAGAATGCCTCATAGCATAGCCAGGTTTGACATGAGGACTTTTGTGCCAGAAGTTCCAGATATTGGCATGGATGAAGCTAAAAACACCTTTTTCTTTTGACGAGGTTGACAATGTTGCAATATGGTTAAAAGTTTTTCATGGTTTCCCATAATATCTGTCCATTAAGTTGCATATTGGTATTAAACATTACAGGTCTGAACGATCCTCCATCTGCTCAAAGCAACCAATCAAAGACCACATTAAGTGAAGTATCGCAGCAGTGGAGCTCGTTGCAGGTGAAACTTGTATATTTATATATTTATATCAATATATTTTATGATTGAGTTCATAAAATGTCATATATTATACAGAACACCGCAACAGGCATTGATTTGCTTGGAAACGGGTCATATTCACATCCTGCTCCAGCATCAACAGAAGCCAGTTACAGTCTACAAAACCTACAAGATCTGGCCATGATTGGGCTTTCAGACAATGGGTACTTGTTTAAATGAAAAGGTATCAGTTGTGTACTTGAAATTATTAACTTGTTTTATTCCTTACTCCATCTAGTCTGACCAGAGGATTGGGGATGCCTCCTCCCTTTGTATCAGCACATGGCTCTCCCTCGTCCCTTCTGAAAAGCACGCTGCCCGGATCTCCTGCTCTGTCCCAGCCACAGTTTCACAGCCTCAGCTCCGCTCCAGGGAGTCCACAGTTTCTTCCTATGTCTCCTGGTCACCCTTCCCTACAGGGCAGTCCAGCCCGGGGAGCAGACATCTCCCTGAGCAATGTCTATATCCCTTTAGAAACTATTAGACCAAGTAAGAATAGAATATAATGATGGGCGACCAGATTTATAACAAAAAAACTGGGATACTTCCAAGTTATGTTGGAAAAGGTGATCATTAAAGACAATGCATTTATTTGATGCAGCTGTTTATTGTCTGAGAGACTATGTGCATTTACAAAAAACTATGGCAATATCTTGAGCAATCAAATGTCCTCTCATTATCAGTGGGTCTCAAATCAGTGGGTTATCAACAAAACTGGGACAAATTATGGGTTTGCAATGGGAAATGGGATTCAAAACTCAAACCTGGGACTGTCCCAGGTTAATATGGACATCTGGTCACCCTTACACATTGATTATAGCAACCAGTTTTGTTCTAAATATTATGTTTCCTTCTCCTCAGGTAAAGTCCTGCCTGTCACAGCTTATGATAAAGACGGGGTCCGCGTGCTGATCAACTTTGCGGCCAACTGTCCTCCCGGCCGGTCGGACGTGCTGGTTATGGTGGTGTCCATGCTGAATACTGCACCTCTCCCTGTCCATAATGTGGTCCTACAAGCTGCAGTACCAAAGGTGAGCTTGTCATTTATGTAAAATCCTCAGTTATATGTATTTGCCTGGCATTAACAATAGCTGTTCTCACCAGTCAATGAAAGTCAAGCTGCAGCCTCCGTCAGGAACAGAACTGGCCTCATTTAACCCCATTCTACCTCCAGCCTCCATTACACAGATCATGTTATTGGCCAATCCGTCAAGGGTATGTAACATTTCCTAACAAAAATCTTACATTATATTCTTATTGAAATCATTGTTTTGTTTTATAGGATAAGGTGCGTCTGAGATATAAACTTGCTTTTATACTTGGAGATCGTCAGTGCAATGAAGTTGGAGAAGTTGACCAGTTTCCTCCACCAGAGACATGGGCTCATCTATAGCAGACTTCACAATTCTACTACGTTTCTGGTGTCATTCTCGGTTTTCTATTGTGTATTATGATCATGCTGTATGTGTTCAAACTAACCAAATGCACTAGCTCCAAAAAAAATCATGGACATACAAAAATACTAACCCATCATTTAATATGTAAGGGCTGAATTCATTTGATACGATTTAGAATTAGACCAAACTAATAGTTTAATATTCTACACAGGTATTCGTGTCAATGGTTAAAGCGTTGAGAACACTAAAAAACTCCACTGATACTTTTGATGTTGTCCTCAAAGCCAAGGCTTGGAACAATCTTAGTTTGAGTAATGGCCGTACGTGATCATGTTAAATGGCTTTTCTGGTTAAAAGTACTTTTGATTTTTAATTAGGTGTGATGAAGTAAATTCCCAGCTGCTCTTTTGTCTTTTAAGAGTGCGTTCCGTTTTTATTTGATGGGAACTCCTCAGAAACCTTAAGGAGACGTCAGTGTTAAATCTTTGCAAACTGAACATGTTGAAGCTCATTATTTATTATGTATTTATTATTTCTTTGCAGTATTTTGACATCACTGGAAATACAAAATGTGAAGATTTTTGGGATTTTTCATCTTCCATGTTTTGTAACATGTTAAACTAACATCCCGATGTAGTTACTGGAGTTTTACAGGTGTACAGTGTAATTTGCTTGTTCTCTGCATGAAATAAATATTCTTTTTATCAATACATTGTGGAATGGTAAGAACATTCTGGTTAAAAACAACCCAAAATACCTGAACATCTTGAAAAAGTTTTAATAACAATGTTTCTTTTGAATATGTACAAAAATATCAAAAACCACTTTGGGCTGCACACATCATGCTTCCACCGTTCCCTCTTTGACGATCGCCATGGCCAGGTTTCTGGCCAAAGCCAGTCGCAGCAGCTCTACCTTGGTCACTTCAGTATCTTTGTCCTGGAAAAATACACATACATTTATGGAATGAAAGCTGTGTTAGTTTATTGTAAAAACAGTGTAATAGAAGTGTTTGCGCCCAGTACCTGCATGTGCTGGTCGGGGCCAGGGGCCGGTTTGTTCAAAGATGATGTGAGCTCCTCTAAACAGTACATGAGCTCGTATGTTTGATCAGAGGAGAAGATCACCTGAGTCACAAATGACACATTCTTACCTTCAAATGGAAACACTGACAATAACCTGCCAATTTCTCAACCTTTCTTCAGCAATAACAGTAAAACAGTCCAAAATAAATATTAGAAAACATACTTGTTTCTGTTCCAGCAGCGGCAGGGCGTCAGTTATCAGAGTCATCCAGAAGCTTCGAGGGGCGATCTTTGCAGTCATGAGAGAAAGCAGAAGTGATGCTGCCTCCGTGAATCTCTTCTCTCCATAAAGCTTATGAAACTCTCGATATTTTCCTAAGCGAGAAAATTATGATTAAATTAGTTTTACTGGAACAAATTTTGGAACAGATTATCATGGAACCTGAATTGTATTTAAAATGTTATTTTTTCCATACCAAGAAAAGTGAGCCTGTCACTGAGAAGCATTGCTGGTCCCAAATTGTCAATCAGATCTAGATCAGAGAATGTCCCTTTAGAGCAGTAATCCTGCAAAAACCTGTAGGAAATAATAAAATAAAAAAGAGCACAAGTTTAATTTTCAATGATGTTAAAAAACTGTATAGACAAAAGACGGACCTCTCAGAAATGAGTGTAGCAAAAGCAGCGTCTCTTGCCCTGATGCTCCAGGAAAGTGCTGACCCCAGTCGGTTGTTCCTTAGTGCTCGCATGGCCATGATCTTGCAGATACTGCGAACTGTAATAAAATTGAAGTTTAGGAGGTCTGAAGGGCCTTGTTGCGCATGCTCATGACAGACAAACCTTGCTCGGCCATCTTCCTCTGCTCACAGATCCTCAGCACCTTCAGGGCTTTGCGCTCAGTGTCCAAAGGAACACGCTCCATCTGCAGCTCCAGGTAAACGTGACCAAACTCTGGACAGTGGTCGAAGTAGTCCACAGCCAACTGCCACAGGCTACTCATCAAATAATGTCATTAGTAATGATATAATGGGTTGCTATTATTTGTGAATGTACACAAAACAGCTAACTTTGCACCTGTGATGAGAAAACAGCCCAGAAGCATATTCCAAGAGAAGGAACTCTCTCAAATTGGAACCAAAGCTGAGCGAAAATGGGAGAAAACAAAGTAATAACGAGATTACAAAGTAAGTTTGAATGTCCATGCCAAGGACACTTACTGCAGATTGTGAGACTGGAGGAGATTGCAGTGATCCAGAAGATCTGTTAAATGTGCCACAAACCACCAGTTGTTCAAAGCTATACTGTAATATTCAAGATGCAAAATTAGAACGCCGTAATAGAAAAAGGTACATTCATCATTAATGTACCTGCAGTCTTTGATGACTTGATGGATGTCAAATTCAAACGCGGCCAATAAGATGCTGTCAAGTGGTTCTGGGGCGCTCGTTTCCAAAAACATGGTCAAACATGACTGGAAATCCCAGCAAATATAAATGTTACTATTCATACATTTGGCATCATATCAGCAGCGCTGCAACAAATGTTACATATTCACCTGTGCGTAGTAGTGCAACTCTGTGGGCTTGACAGTGGGGTGGCAGTAAAGCAGCCTAGTGACCATGTAGTGATACCAAGTGCTGAGCAGGTCCTTGTGCTCCAGGAGAGTATCTTCATCTCCCGCAAGAATCTGCAGTGAAATAAAAAATGTTTTAGTTTAAACTATTGTATCATGAGTTAAGAGATAAGATAAGCCTTTATGCGTCCCACAGTGGGGGAATCTCAATGTCATCGTTGAGCACATTACAGCAGAATAAAAGGAGAAAATAAGAGCACTTCGGTTGCACACATCAAAAAGGATCTATTATTTATGATAATAGATAATAAAAATCAAATAATAAGATATTAACATAAAACTCTGGAGCTATAATTGCACTTGGTTCAAGAATAAGTCACTAGTGGAGTCTACACTGTAGATGGCAGCATCATGATGTACAGATGTATTGCTGTTGCATTGGTTATGCATGTTCCAGTGCAAGTACTACTACTAGAATAATATCGTATCATTTTAATGTATGTAGAATAAAGAAATATTGCAGAGAACTGACTTTGCAGATAGTTTCCAGATGTTGGCTACTGGCAAAGGAGTTGTCCTGAAGGCACCGGTCGACCTCCTCGTGCCAGTGTCGCCACTTCACATCAAATTCTGTCAAAGTCTGACTGCCACTTGGCTAAAAAAAAAAAAATACACATTTTTATTACAAATTACATTGCTAAACAATCTATGCTCAGACATAAAAGTTGGGCTGACTGATTTTCAAACAAACAAACTCAAAATAGCGACACCTGAGGCTGTGCTACATAAGAAACTGTAATGAGGTCCTGAAGGAAATAGAAAGATAGAAATAATGATGAACTAATCAAAGAGAAAGCCTTTACGTTGGTTTGGTTTAATCCCGGGTTGATCCAGACATTTAAGCACCAGCGTTTTGCCAGATCATTTTCTAAATCCTAATTTCACCTAACACTGGTTTACAATTGCAGAGCATTTTTTTCCTCACAAAAATACAACCATATAAAATTGAATATATCCATAAAATCCTTAAAGTGTGTGTAAAAGTAGTGGCGTGCCATTCTAAGGCGGAGGCTATGGAGAGCACCATGAAAAAAACTTCATGCAGGTGCAGTAAAGAGCGTATGATCGTGGCATATGATGACGATGACAATGATAAGTAGACAATGTGTTGAAATCTTACATTAAAGAAGGGCATTTTGCTGAGCAGCGTGTCCATGAGCATGTACATGTTTCTGGCCGCCGGTTGTAGATTGGCCTGTTTTACGAGCATCTGCCTGGCTTCATCCAACCTTCCCTGCAGCACATAACTCAAAACCTGCCCAGAAATATACAGCAAGTTCACAATCAAAACAAAAACAACAAAATAAAGTCACAATGCTGTTGTTACATACCACCCTCCAGTAGTTGTGGTGTTCAGCTGGACTCTCACTTTGAAGAACTTCTCTGGTTTTCTCATCAACATCGGCTTTGTGCAACCTGACCCAGTCAAGAAGATGGAGTAACAAGGAGCCCGCTGTTCACAGAGAGAAATCACAGGTAAATGTTCAAAGAGCTCAAATGTTTAGACAGTGCATGGATGTCTTACCAGGAGCTGCATCAATAAACAGCACCTCACACAAATTCCAAATAAGCTCAATAGCCAACAGAATGGACAGCTGACGACAAACATTAAACATGAGTGGGGGGGTTAATTTAACATTCTCTGATTATCAACTGTCACACACCTGATCTCCATACTGCGATGCAACTTTAGAATCCGTGGAAGAAACTGTTGTGTATATAAAAGTTAAATGGTAAAACTAAGTTTATCCTGTATCAGAATAGACAATAACAAAGACATTTCAGACCTGCTACTTGTTGAAGCTCCTCCATACATGCTCGTATAACAGATCTGTAGTTTTTACTAACACTGACAAACCTAGGACACAGATGTTCATAATAATGAATTCATAAATCAAAAAATAAGTCAATTTTGCAAAGAAAAACATGGATGTGCTTACTGGGGTTTTTTGTTTTTGCTTGGAATGTCATCTTTTAGAGTTTGCAGTCCGACAAAAATATGATGAGATTCATTAAACAGCTTGCGTAAGATTGGAGAGTGGATATCTTCATCTTTCCGAACTTCATGAATGTAAGGAGATCCCGAACATTTGGCATCTTAACGCAGGAGGAGAGCATTGAAAGGGTTCCACAGATAATAACAATAATAATATTATTAAAGACGTGTATAAACACACCTTTGGGATGATGGAGAGTTTCAAATACAAGAATGTCGCAAGGACCCCAAGCAAAGCCTAGATGTTTGCCCACTCCAGCACTGGGTATATTCTAAAAGATACAGAACACACATGATTGAACATTGAAACTGATTTATCACAGTAACAGAACTGTATAGTAGCTTGCTTTAGTGACGACCAACTATCTACAAGCTTCTGTTTCCTGTGACTTGCAACATTGTGATAATAATTCTGAACCCAATGGAGACTGACAACCCAGTGGGATGTAAACTGTATACCGTTATTATATATTCATAGACACACTACGGCGACAAGCATCCTCATATGTACGTTTTCAGTTTCATAAGAACGACTTACAGTGACTGCAGGCTCAACATCGACCTCCTCCATTTGGAAATAATTCAATTACTGGGATAATTAGACGAAGTTGTTCAAAACGAAGCAGTGTGGCTTGATTACGCGCCTCATTCGGTTGAAAGACCCGTGGCGCATTATCAATGACGCACATACGTAGTGCCCCACTGATGCCTGAATATATGTATACTTTATTTAGATATTCTAATTACTATGTGTAATCCAAAACACACAGTGTAAAATCATCTCTCTGCTTTTCTTTATGTCAGGATATTATTAGTATGAAAACACTAAACAAAAACTAAATGTACCAACTTATTGATGTTTGTCAGAAAACACTCTTTGATCTACACCACTCAAAGTTTGGTTTGATTAGTTTATTTTATGAAAGGAATGTATGCAATATGAAAACACAGATGAAAACAATAATTAAACAAGATGGCCGCCAGTCAGAAGGGGAAAACAGCAGACAAGAATTTAGCTTGAGCTTGTTTGACATATTCACATATTTTAGACTCGCTGGGCTCATAAACTGTCACTATGGGACACGGTCCACAGATGTAGTACGCGTAGAAATTGCAACATTAATGGTTTTGCTTGCAAAGACCAACACTCCTCATGCGCGTTCACGTGTGGCTGGGTTTCTCTTTAGCGCGCATTCAAGAGGCTCCCGCCCACACCCAGCCGTCTCTTTGACCCACGTGACCGCCTCAAACCAATGACATACGAATGTCGTGGACGCGCATTGACGCGTGCCCGCGCACGTACTCGCCATATAATTATGTCGTGAACGAGCACGTGCGCGTACTCGTATTCTTTGTGTGGTAGCAAAGAGAAGCGCCAAAAGAGAAACCATGGCAGATGAAAAACCTAAGGTGAGTATTTATGACACTTTAAACCCGTGATTGTGCATTTGTTTTAATTATTAACAACAAATATTTTCACACAACGCGTTCTCCTTTTGATGTGATAAAGTTTTAAGTCAACTAAAAGCTATGCCTACTCCTACTTTGGATGGACCGGAAGGTTTGTGAACGCGCATCCTCATGCGCGCTGCTGATCGCTCTGATCAGACACAACCAACCAGCTGAGCTGCTGTCATCCAGAGCTCTGCTCAGAGACTGACTCCTCCTGTCACAAGTTTTACACTACACTCAAGACATTTACTATGTCTTAGTGGCACTATATACATGCATTAGACATGCTTTATGCATTGACTTATTACTACAAACTAATGTGCAGCTACTTGAATAGATTTTGTGAAATACAAAATATACAGTTTTTCCCCGCTGCCTGAATTGTATACGGTATATAATTTATTGCTTATTTATTCCATTTTATTAACATGAATAATACAGATAGTTGCACCAACAATACATTTGAATCCTTCAGGAAGCAGTGAAGACCGAAAGTAACGAACACATAAACCTGAAGGTGGCCGGTCAGGATGGATCTGTGGTACAGTTCAAGATCAAACGACATACTCCCCTCATCAAACTCATGAAGGCCTACTGTGAGAGACAGGTCAGCACTCATCATTATTCATATTTTCAGACTGAATACCTGTATAATGTTTGTGCTTTTGTTAAGATTTGTTACTTAATCTAAACATGCTGCTTTCATGTGCATTTTGGGTAGTTTGGGTGGCAGATTTCTCGGCCGTTCATTGGAGCAAACAAAGATGAAGATCTAATAGGGCGTTCTTACCAAATCATGCGTTGCGGAAAGTTTCAACGCCAAGTTAATGGCATTGAAATCATACACCGATGCATACACCGCATTTTCGTACACAATCGTACACAATCGTTGATTGTGTACAACCGTACACAATCAACGCATCATCAACGCACATGCATGCATCAGCGGTGGGAACGCACCCTTACATCTTACCCTATGCTCCATCCCACAGTCTGTAGCTCCGACCTCTTATGGTGCATTCAGACCGCAAACGCTCAAACGCTGAAGACCCGCTCACCAGACGCGCATTCTCTAGTTTTCAGACGCAGAGGACTTCACACCAGAACGTCCTGACGCGAGCCGGAAGTACCGGAAGTAGCCGGCCGGCTCTAATGCTAAAACAGCTATGCTAGCGGCTTCTTGCGTACAGATCTTCTCCAATATGCAGCTTTGCAGCGTGTCTTTGCTCACAGACATTCCACAGGCTTTATATAACAGTAGTATGTGTTCACGGAGGTGCGATATACGTTTTTTTGTATTAATAAACGGTATTTCCGCATCGGCGAACACGCTCGAAGCAGCTGCATAAGGTCACGGGAGCATGATAACGCATACATTCACAAGCACACAGTCCCCCATTGTCAACCCTGGTTTAGTCCTGGTATAGCTCCTGTTTTGGCTGTGTACAGTATGTTCAGTCTGCTCGCTCAGACCACTAATGTCCCTGTGACCACTTTGCAGCTCTCTGATTGGTCGCTGCACAAACGCCCCGAGGAAAAGTTGAGCAAAGTTTATCTCCTGTGGGCGTCCATTTTCCGCTCCTGCTCCTCCCCTTTGACTTTTCCGCCAAGTCCGTGCAGCTCTACTCAGCAGTCCCTAAGTGTGTGCCGAGAGGTCGGTGCGTTTTGACGCTGCAACGCGCGTCACCGTAGACTTTGCATTGAAACCTGACGCAACGCATGATCCGGTCTGAACACGCCATTAGAGACTTCCCCGAGATGCACATAAAAGCAGCATTTCTCCATGAAGTACTGATGAGACTCATCTCTTGTATTGAGCAAGTTTGAGCTATAATGTACTTTATTTTTCTATAAATGTTTATCAAAAGATAAGATCTTTTTGCGTTGAATGATATAAGTAAGTTGTAAACATGATTGAATGCACGACACACGGGTAAGAGCACCATTATTCTGCAGCAGAGTGCATCATGAAAATAAATCTGCTTATACCATGGTCACACACTCTGAGGATAGTGAAATGCTATAATGATATTCTATGCTTTAATAGGCTATTGCAGTGTAACATTAACAGTCTTATGTAGGCTGTGTGTGTGTAATGAATTGTAAGTGGGCATTAATATTCTCACTGACCATAAAGTATGCTGGAATTTTAAAATGACTAACGTGTACAATGACATTAACTGAAATGTGATTTTGTGTTTGTTTTTTTTTTTTTCTCCCAGGGTTTGTCAATGAGACAAATCAGGTTCCGGTTTGATGGACAGCCAATAAACGAGACAGACACACCATCGCAGGTAAACAAACACTGAAGTGGGATTTTGAAAGGACAAAAGATGACTCCAAGAAGTTGAACTCAGGACTTTGTCTGGTACTAAAGGGAACATGTGCCTTTCCTAGACATTTTTTTTTTTACATCTGGGAAGAGCTTTCATTAAAAAGACACAGCTTTCACAAAGAACTGCATTTATAATCTATTCCATCTATCCAGACTTTCCTATTCACAAATGTTCCTAGGGTCCCCCACAGGGGCTCCTCCTGGTGGAAATGCCTTAACGCCTCCCCAGAGAGTTGCCTGGAGCTGCAGCTAACAAAAATAATCTAAATAAAATGCAATAAGTAAACAATATTGTTTACTTATTGCATTTTATATAGATTATTTTTTTATAAAAGCTGCACTAACTGACTTTATTTTCGTATTCATTACGAAAATGCTATCCATGTCCATGTAGTGCATTGGGATATACGTCCTTTTGAAGAATAAGTAGCGCAGGGTTGTGCTGGCGTGACATTATATTTAGATCGAGTTTTGATGAAACAAGGAGGAGAATGCGTTTCGGGTCGCAGATTGTGACCAATCACAGCGGACCACTAGCCCCCACTTTTGTGAGAAATCTACAGGTCCGTTAGCACAGACGGCTGAGTTAGCACAACAAGCGGCGGAGCTAACCTGAAACGTCTTCGTCACCGGTTACTGCTTACACAGCGAAACAGCCATTCAAAAGAAAGTCCCATTCCTCCGCGCTTCCCGGTTCTATCGTTCTATGGTCACGCCATCCACGTGAAAATCCATATCCATGCATTATCCATATTGGGAGACGCTAGCTCTGTCAACAACAGTGGGTGTGTGTGGGGGGCGATAGCTTCGTGGGTGCGGGGAGGGGAGCAGAAAGGGCGAGGCCAGAGAGTTCGCTGCTTCAAAATCCCAAAGTCAGTTAGTGCAGCTTTAATCCATGAAATAAATTATATTTTTTGCGCTATTAAAATTCAACGCTTAGTTTAAATCTATTTCACCATTTCTTGGACACAAGTATCTTCAAAGCCCACCCACATAAGCTGCTCATCGTTGATGTTGATTAATTACTTATTGTCATAGTTATCATCACATGCTTTTTATTCTTTACTAAAACAAGATGGTTTTGTATTTTTGTCCTTTCAGTTGGAAATGGAAGATGAAGATACGATTGATGTGTTTCAACAACAGACGGGAGGCTACTTTTAAGTCCCAGGTTTCCTTAAAGCCCTCTTCCCTGTTCAAGATCATTTATGCAGAAAACAATTTATATTTCTTCTGCCAGGCAAACCTGCTGTATAGTATTTTGTTGCCATGAACATAAACTTCTCTACAATCTGTTTTGTTGGATGCTGTCTCGGTACTCCTTCTAATGTGAGGGGGATATACCAACTAAACTGGTGGTGAGTGTAGAAATATTTATATATATTATAATATTTGCAAAGTTTGTTGGATTCATGATTCTGTCTGACATCTGTTTGAGGCCACTGTCTTTGCATAAAGTTTGAGAGGGCCCCTTTTGCTTTCCTACGACACACATGTTTTTGTTTTTATAACATTTTATATAACGGTAGTAGTTGTTTTGAGTGTTTTCATTATGTAAAGACCAAACTTTTAAGGATGTTGATACAAACACCTGTGTTGTCCATTAACATTTTTGTTAAAATAAATATTTCCTTTTCAGATTTGCATCTATTCATTTGGTTGTTTTTTTTTGGGGGGGGGGATGATTATTGAAAGATGATTACAATGATGGCAAACTTTTTGATTTCCAAACATTGCAGATTTAAGGTTTGAGAAAGTTAAGATACTGTAAATGAAGGTCATAATGAATCTGTTAATGCTACAGTGAATTATTTAAACTAAAGGTAAACTTCTAGCAAACATTGTTGTGTTACTGCATTTCACATGTGTTATTCTAAACAGGGCCTTTCTGAGGGGAGTTTGCATGTTCTCGTGTCTGCGTAAGTTTCCTCTGGGTGTTGCGGTTTCCCCTTCCACTTAAAACATGTACAATAGGTAAACTCTTCCCGCTTTGGCAGTCCTGACAAAGCCCAGTATCAAAAATTTGACATTTGTCAAATTTGTCTTGTTCTTTTGTAAATATAAATTGGGGTATACCCAGTATCTGTGGATGCGGCCTAATAGGCTGTAGAAGGGACAACTGCTGGTTTTTGACCATTTCCCTTTCACTGCTGAATCCAATTATAACTGAAATTAAGATTTTATTTACCCACTGTGTAAGTAATTTCAAGATAATCTGTGGTGTTGCTGAGATCTAACTGCTCCAGAATGTTTGTTTGGACTGTACATAAGATACGGATTTAATTGATTGCTCACATTTCTAACCGTTTGATGGTGAGTGATGGTATTTTATCAATTGGCTGACAGAAAAACTAATAATTGAATACAATCTGAATCTGATTAATCCTTCCCCGGTACATGGAATACTTAAGGGATTAAAGTGTGATTTTCATCTCTATCTGAGGGCACAGCAGACATGACAAAACTGTCACATATAGATAGAATGATATATAGCAGACTTTAATAAACTGAAGATCCAAGAATGTGATGGTGCTAATGACTGTGCTGTCTGGTCCTCAGCACGTTGCCATCAAGTTGACAGATGTTAGCGGTATTTTTCTCCAATGAGGTAAAAGTGCCAATGCAATGCAAAGTCCAATCAATGCAAAGGTTTGCAGCCCTGTGTCCAATCAGAGGGATAGATGAGCTGATGGACGGGACCTCTGGCTGGCACTGCAGATCCAGCAGAGTTGCCAAGTCCACTTGTTTATAGCGTGTTTGGGCTGTATTTTTGATGTATGTAGCTTTTGTATTGTCTCTGCCAAACACACATGCAGTTAGAATTACTGAAACACAAACTGTTAAAGGTGCTACATGCAACGTTGTTGATGGGGCTTAATGCAGCGGACAGAAGAGTGTGGATGACCTGGGGCCGTATTCCTAAAGATTCTGAGAGTCCTCTCAGAGAGCTCTTATCTTAACCTAAAAACTCCTAGCTAGGAGTCTTAGCTTAAAAGTTATTCCAGAACACTCTTAGAGAACTCTGAGCAAGGAATTGACAACAACTTTTATCTTAGTGAGGAGGCGTGGCCGACCCCGTTGCTAGGTATGAGTCATCATTTCAGACGCTGTGATTGGTTGATCCTAAAAGTTAGAACAAACATATTTTTGATGATAATAGGCAAAATAAGGGCCCTAAAATGGACAAACTCAATCATGGAATCTAATCTTAGGAACACTGTGTTATTGTAAATAATAACCAAAAGCTATAAAGTCAGATATATCAATGGTACATAAATACTGTGAATAGTAAAGTTAGACTTATACACCATCATCAGAGCTTGCTCAGCACCAATTTATCACACATAATACGTATATATCATGAGCACTTATTTTATATATATATATATATATATATATATATATATATATATATATATATATATACATATAATTTAAATATTACTCTATATATAATATACATGATAAAGAAAATTATTATTATAAATATTATATGGATAAATGATGATAATGATAACGTTAGGATTAGTAAAGGCTGTGATATGTATAGACTTATAAGGAATTAAGGAAACAATATTAATATAAACATATTATACATACACTGTACAAATCAAGTACAAGGGAGCTTAAAAGTCTTATCCTCTCTCACTCCTTTTTGAGCTGGATTGTTGTTAATAAAACAAAACTCTATATTTGTACTTCTATTCTGTTGTTGTTTTGTTTGTTTTGTCCTTTTTTTTCTTGTTTGCCATGGCTCAAAATAAAGTATTCATTCATTCGTACTGAATGTGTGACAATTTAGGACCACTTTTTCCTCTCAACTTTTACCATTTCTACTTACTTTTGTGTAACAAAGGTAAAATGGATGAGGTGTTATTGCTGACCAGCCAATAAGAAGCTGGTCACATGATTGACTTTTAAATATACCACAAACATGATTCCTGCTTGAATCTGTAGCGTTTCACTGATTCACTGTCATCCAGTGTATAGAATATTTCTCCTGTCTCCACCGTCCACCATTTTGTGCTCTTAGGGAACTTTTAAGTCGCTAAAAGTCCTCCTCTCAACTCTTAAGGGATCTCCCCTTAAGAGAACTCTTAAGAGCTAGGATTTTTTAGGAATAGCTTTTATCTTAACTAGGAGCTACTCCTCACTTTTAGGGGAAATTCTAAGAGTTGGTCAAGATTCTAAGAAAATTCTTAGAATTTGGCCACTAGGAGCAACTTTTAGCAGTAAGAATCTTTAGGAATACGGCCCCAGAAGTGGATGATTTACCTTAACCGGAGTAGCTGGAGGAAACTCACCCAGACATAGGGAGAAACATGCAAACTCCACACAGAAAGGCCCTGTTCTGACACTGGGATGTTATTGCTTTACTTGAAATGTCCCTTAGTATGTTTTCCAATTTGTGCAACATTTCATTCCAAAAATGTGAAATCATTGAGTAACTCTCCTCAGATGTAACATAGCCCAGTGATGTCACTGTGTTATGTCTTCATGGACAATGAATTAACATAAATCACACAATTTAACACAAGCCCTATGAGCATTTACAATTAGACCAGAGATGGTCAAATAAGTTAATGTTAGAAAAGATCCAAGTTGACTTCATTCTTCGGTGCCTTGTACCCTGAAGACTGACTGTTACAAAAGTCGTTTTGCGTCTGGAGACTGTACAGTTAAACGCTGTACTCCTCTGATCTGGGAGGAACTATACAGTCACTAAGAACTTGAGGCATTTATCTTTTTTATCATATTTGTTATGTATCAGCTGAAGTATCTAAGAAATGCATTGATCTTATTTGAAAATATCTTTTGCATACTTTAAAAAAGTGCCTTGTGGTCCCCTCTTTTTTGAAAAATCTGAAAGAAGAATGTGATATATAACTACTGTTGTCATGATTCTAAAATTAAAAACTTGATTGTGCTATTCTAAAAACGGGACAATGAGCTGCATGCGCTGAACATGAATGCAAACACTGTGTGAATAGTAAACCCTTGCAATGAGGTGCAATATTCAGTTTTAGTTTTAAAATCAAAATCAATACAAACTGCTCAGAGAATCTCACATTTAGCCTGTTTTTGTGAAATTAATACTTTGTTTCGATACAGTTTTTTGAAAGCAAGGAACTTCTCAGATAGATTTTTACTACATAATTGTGTTTTGCTATTTGGGAATTGGGTACCACATCTTGAGGCGTTTCCTTTTCAATATTTACATTATTTATTTTCTTTCAAAGGCCGCGTCGCTTGTTTCCGCCTCATAATCTGGCATCCCTCGGGCCAGCCGCGGTGCTAGCTCACGCTCACGCAGTCGGGTGGAGTCTCCGCACCAGAGCACGCAGGATCCTCTATAGTTTCATTCACTGTTTTGTCTCTGTTTGAGGAGAATCTGCCGAAATGACGACCACCACCACCTTCCAAGGCATGGAAGCGGGCACCAAAAGCAGCTCCAGGTAACACACATGAGCAACAATACAACAAAAACCATTTTCCGGTGGAACAAAAGAAGCGAGATGTTGCTTCGTCGATTCTTTTCCCTTCACAGCACCAGTCGCCTTCGCCCTGCCCTGCCTGCTGCTGCTGGTGGCTAACGACAGGGGATTTTTCTGGCTTAAAACACAACCAGTGCCTCGCTAATTAAGTTAATCTTATTGGGTGACATGGCCCCTATCACGGCTTCAGCTTTGTGAACTTAGGCTGTAGCCATTGTGTTGGTGAAGTTTAAGAATAGAAAGAATTCACCGCCGCAGGGATGCTATTCTAAATTCCAGCTGCTGATGACTGAAGAACTTGTCTCTCACACGCCTGGTTAATGAGTAACTTTATGTTTCTTATTCCTCGGGGTGATCGGTGGTATTACGTTCCCATCACTGCGCTTTGAAGGTGTGTGCCAAGTTTTAAGTGCTGACATGATCAGGCCCAGGTCTACTTTAAGGTATTTAACATTTGCTTTCTCGGTGGATCTTATGATTGTGACTGCTGTTAAGTGGTAATCCCATAGGACCACTCATCCTTCAGGCATGTGGGCAGAGGCTTTTTTTTTTTTTAGTTGTCTGTGTGCCTTTTCATTGCAGTGATAACAAAGCAAGCACAAGGCAATGATCAGGCCACAATTGTGATTTTTATATAGTTGACAAATACACATCCATGTATTGATCTTGTTATCTGTGAGCTTGTCAAATCTCAAGTCATCAAATGCTGATGCTGGGGGCCTGGGTGGGGGCTTTGGGCAAGCTATAAGCCTACTTGTAAATCTCCCATTGGCTGTTTTTGCTCCTTAACCTCTGTCTTAACCTCTATTTTGCCCATAATTAAAAGGGCATAATAATTGTTAGACCTCAACGTGAAATGGATTGACTGGACTGAATCCTACCAGGCAGAACACCCAATGCTTTAGCCTTTCGTTTATCACATACATCATCAATGGGTTTTGGTGAGATGTGCTGTAACAACGCCAGCTCATATTGTGTTAAGGAGCAAAAAGTGTTTCGTTGCTTTTTCATTGATTATTGTTTGCTTTTTAATTTTAGGGTGGGGCTTGCTGTCTGTGCTCAGCTAAAATCTCTTTCCCCCTCAATCTATGTGGAAATCGTGAGCTCATCCTCTGGCCACGAGGTGAAGTCTGGTTTAGGCATTAGGCTCTGTCATAGCCAAGTGTGACAGAGCAGATCAGTAGCATTTGCAGCAGATTGATGGGACATTTGTGAGCATTTTTTCATATCTGTGGAGCTGCAGCATGACCGTGAAGAGCTAACTAGCCTCTTATGGCCCTGGTCTCTGTGTCTGGCCCTCCTCAGACAGCTGCTCCATGTGTCAGCTGGTGGTTTCGGGAGTTTGCTGGAGACAAAAAAGAGGGAGGGGTACGGCTTGGCAACGCTACACGCCGGCTTATGACCTGTCCATGCACGCAGTTGCTCAGCCCTGTGTGCGAGGGAATATCACGGGCCTGTCTCTTATCGTTAGTCATCAGGCTCTGTTTTCCTTAGTTTCTGTTATGAAGGGAGGATTTTTTTTGTACCTTGTGACCTGCATAACTCAATCTGATATTGCATCCTGTAGAGCTATGAGAATGTGAAGATGTCAACCAAATTAACCTCAATTTAATTCACATGCTTCAGTGTTACATGTTGTTTTGAGGAGGCTTTAACATTCAACAGTACGTTTTATTTGCCATAGTATCAGTACGCATTAGTGCCGTAAATATTGTGATTCACAACTCCCTCATAGAGCGATGACATGTGTTTGCAAATAATGGTGCAAAAGACAAACGCCCTATTGATAGTGTTAATCTTTTCTCAACAATAAATCTGTTGTCCATTATTGTGACACAATTTATTGAAGCATTATAACGCAGATTAGAGGGGATAGATTTTATTTGTGGAAGGATTTGACCACCTAAGCTTCTCTTAAAATCAGACATGAGACATAAGTGTTTTGGATAGACATGATGCCATCGTGAATAAAAGAGGACATGGAAACTACTATGTTCTTCAAAAGTAAATGACATAACAGGATATTCCAGGTTCACTACAAGATTTTGTGGTGGAGCGTTCGCTTTTAGTCTGGGTCTATCCAATTGTTGTTTTGCCTGGAATGTTCTTTAGTGTAGCATTTAGCTTATCTATCTATATTGACTTAATGACTTCACTTGCTTCACAACTTTGCTAAGTTACACGTCATATCTGCAGAAAGGAGAGTCAACCCTATGTAAGAATTCAGACTTTGAGCAGTAAAATCATTTGTAGTTGAACAATGTACATATTTAGTTTTACAGTGGTACATTCCAAGTTAAGCAAGTCAAGCAGGTATATATGCTCGTCCTCTGCATTTGACCCATCCTTTAGTGGCAGGTGTCTGGAGCCGTGGTCTCTAGTACAGCACCCAGGGACCATCTCCAGATGTTGTTGCTCGGCTTGGTCAGGATCAGAGCTGCAGGATTTGACCTTTTACAAAGAGAATGGCACACATCTTTGTTCTCCTGTAAAAGCTCTTTGCAATAATGTACGATTTCAGCCTCTGTGTATTGAACTATAAGTCATGTAATGATTGTGGCAGGGCTAGTTTGCAGACTGAACTGAGGTAACTTTTGTTTTGTTTAGTGAATATGTTTAAATAAAGGGTGGGGTGCAGGAAGGTGAAGAGCTGGAGGCCTGTTTTTTGCCTATTGATTCAGTTGCCCATTATGCAGCTCTTTACAGGGGCGTGACATATGGGTCATGTGTTTGTGATGAAGCAGAGCCGATCAATGATATATTAATAAACTTGGCTATTGTCTTTGCAGGGTCCTGAGGCCGCCCGGTGGAGAGACCAGCTTCTCCTTCGGCACAGAAGAAAACACAACTCCACGCAAGAACAAGATGGCATCCAATATTTTTGCTGAACCTGACGATCCACATGCCCATCGAAGGAACAACCCACCCAGTAACTCACTTTCTGTTTTCCAAATCCTTCTTCCACTGTGAGAAAGTTTCTAATGGGTTTTAGGTCAAAAGGAGAAACTCAGATACGTGGAAAAATGTCTGTTTTCTTTTCTTTCTTTTTTTTTGAGTGAATGAGCCAGAAGTGTAGAAGCACTGGAGTATTAGGGTAATTTGAAACCTCAGCAACGAGAAACAGTCCTGTGTGGAAAGAAATGGGTCAGTCGAATAAAATGGGACCAGATGGAGATGATTTAAAGATTATTTTAGTTGCAGAAGTTATAGTAAGTCTGGCTCTAAAAACAATTAAAGCAAATGCCAGGTTAGACTGCTTTTGACTCAAAATCTTGCCTTGCTTCTCTAGTTTGGTCAAGTTTATCATGTTACCTAGTTGGACAGCTTTTTCTCACAAAGACTTGATTGTTGTAATATATTTTTTTTACCAGGGGTTCAGTCTCGGGCTGTAATTAACGGTTATTTTTAATAAGATAGTCGATTATTCTTTTTATCAACCAATTAGTTGTTTAGATCACAAAAGGCCAATATTTCAATTATACTTAAGCAAAAACTACAACTGCATCTTTGTAGAGACAAGATGTTCCATCATTTGATAAGAAATACTTAAACATGTTTAAATGTATTTCTCATTTGTTTCAATCCTGTGAATTTACATTTCACACACGCATGAACGCACACAAAATACTGAGTTAATACACTGTTTAAAAAGGGGTTGGACGAAGCAGACTCCAACCCCTCTTGCTCTTTCAATACAGCACACACTGTTATTCTGCACTAATTCCAGCTCCATTTGAGTTATAAAACCTCACAATATTTAAATATGTGATAAGGGAAAAAAGATTAAATAACTAAATTAATAGACTCAAAAGACTTGACTAGTTGCAGCTCGAGTTCAGTCTCTCCAACAAAAGTCTTCATGTTTTAACATATGACGACAAAAACCCAGTGTTTGTCATTACATTAATGTGCATCTGGAGGCCGTACACACAAAGTATCTCTTCTAAAGTCCGTGCTCTAAAATCTCCTGGTATGTGGACAAAGTATTTACCCTGAAATTATTACTTTTCATGCCACCGGGGAAACTCCTAAGAGTGGTTTCCTTGATCATAAACTACAGGGCAGACCTCCAAAAGGACAAGGCCACTTACCGTTCGGAACTCTAGAGGAATGTGCTACAGCTGTGCACTTTCCACCGACAAACTGCGCAAAGGAACGTTTTTCATGAAAAAAAAAAAAAATGTTCAAAAATGGACTCAAAGCCGTTCTTGGTGCTGGTGGTTTTTTTCAATCAGTTTTAAAAGGACAGCTTTTGTAAAAACGGCAATATGTTTAACAACCTTAAATCAATACTAATATCTGCGAGTCTAATAAACTCATTTGAGGTTTTTAGTTTTATGTTTGTTTTTTCACACTGGTTCAGTTGGTTGAGCATTGGCCCTAGAGCCTGAAGGTTGTGGGTTTGAGACAAAGACTGTATATATTAACGGACAGAGTCACGCCTATCTCCGCCGTTCTAACTAATGGGCCAAAAAATGTGCTCTACTGGAGCAATTCAAAATGGCCGCGAGTGGTCCCGCCCACAAGAAAACTGAAAAAACGCATCTGCGCATGAGTCAGCCGGCAAGGGCTCCATTCATTTTAACGAGAGACAAAAAAAATTCACAGCAAGTAAACTAGAGTGGACCAAAAAAATCACCCCCCTCAGCATTGACACACATGTGGAACGGAGCTTTGGGCCAAGAGTCAACTTTTGGACCATCATGTAAAGACGTTTTCGAGAGGTCTGCCAACGCTATATGTTAGCATTGGCTAATTCTTCTTCTGGGTCCACCCCCATCGGCCCGGGGTGGTATTGCAAGCATGTCAGCGCACAACATTTTGGCCACTTTTGAGCTGGGACCCTCCCCCACTGGTTTGAGCCCACCACAAGACCTACTTCACGACTCCCACTGAGGACTGCTGTCGTTGTGTCCTTGGGCAAGACACTTTGCCTGAAGCCGCCGCTGAAAGATCTCAGCTCCTGTGGACTCACCACCTGCAGGAGGATCAGTGAGGGGCAGGTGCTGTGTGTACTGGTGCAGCTCTGACTGCCACCCCCCGACCCAGAAATGGATTAAGGGGAAGAAAATGGATGGATGGATGGGGGTTTTTTCGACCAATTTGATTAAAAAATGACACCAATATCAGCTGCAGATCTGCTACCAGTTCATCTTCAATAAATAAAACTAGTCTTTCTGTGAATAATATAAAAATTCTGTTCATTATAAATCACAATCATATTTTTCCTGTAGCATCTCTGCAGTGATCAACCTCCAGCGACACCCAGGAAGTAAAATTAATAATAATTACAAAAACCACAAAAAAGTTAGAAATTGAATGTTAGTAACTGCTTTATAGGAACTGTAGTCCAAACTTGTCGGATGCACTACAAACTTTAAAGCTCTGCGGGCTCCTCAGACTAAACACTGGCGCTTCCTCTGCCCGTCCATTTGCTGTATGTCCTCCTTGTCGGATAATTGATCCTCCGGCTGCAATAAAGAAGCACTTGTCCAGTTGAACGATAGTCTCTCAACGTTTATGATTCACTTCAGTCCATTAACGACTGTGTACGCGCTCCCTGGACTCTGTTGTGTCCCGGGACAAAAGCCGCTCTGTGCCGGCTCTGGCATAGCTGGCATTCAAGACCAAAGCTGCTGCTGCTGTGGCCTTATGTGGCGTGTTCACTGTCCGTCTCCACGCAACTCTCCAAACACTGGAGTTTATAGCAGTTTTTATTGATGGAAACTTTTATTTAGGATGTTGCTTTGTCTTTTTCCATTTTATTTTTGCTTTTCATCTTTTGTTCTGAATGTGGATCTGAGCCCCGGGTGCCCTGCTGTGTTAAAACAGTGTGGTTTTAGGGCAGCCGGTTCTCTAACTAATTGGATTAGTGTCCATATGGTATGAGTCTGCTGCTTTCTGTAAGGTCTCACTCATGTTTGTTTCTGTCTGCGCTCAATGTAATCTGGTAAAAAGTGAAATGAATGCAGCTCTTTAGCCCTCTGTCTGAAAACACATTCAGTTTAGTCCATCTTCAGCTCTGTTTTGACGTCAGGCTGTTGCAATGAACTATTTTCCTCTAACATCCTACACACTCAGTTTTAATTGGCCCAAGAGCAGAACTTGTGCTGTTGCTGTAAGTAAGAGCACTTTTGTTCAGTAAACTTTCTTTATCTGAAAGATTCACTATTGGGGCACACTGTAATGTTTTACTCAAATGAGCATTCCTATGGTTTCCATGTAAAAGGTTTTCTTTAACTGTATGCCCATTTTTGACTGAAAATAATAAAATTAACCTCATGTAACATGAAAAGTAAGAAATATTTTTCAATGTTTAAAATAAAAAAACAAATACTGCAATACTGAATTGTCAAAATATACAAAATCTCTTCTAGTATTGGCTTTACATACTCCTTAATTTGTTAGTGAAATTTGCGAGAGACTCATAGATGATCAAATAATTTGTGTATAACGGCAAATGCAGTTCTTGTGGTCCTGACTTGTTGGTTTCAAATGAAATACGGCGGCACGGTGGCTGAGTGGATAGCACTCTCGCCTCTCAGCAAGAAGGTCCTGGGTTCGAATCCCGGTCGGACCAGGGCCTTTCTGAGTGGAGTTTGCATGTTCTCCCCGTGTCTGCGTAGGTTTCCTCCGGGTACTCCGGTTTCCCCTACCACTAAAAATATGTCCAATAGTTCTAGCATGCGCCTCCTGTACTGGCCCCACTCCCATCTCTGTGTGGAGTGAGAGATTAATGCCCAAAAATTAACAATTGTAAACCGCTTTGAGACTCAGATCTGCAGTGAAAAGGCGGTATATAAATAAAGATTACTTACTTACTTACTTAATACTTTGACATTTAGAACAGGTCAAATGTAAGGCCAAGACTCCTGATAGAAGTTGAGTTGGATGTCTTGACTCTTATTATACCTTTGTGTGTGTGAGGATTGTTTTTATTTTTTACTTTTGTCTGTCATTTCTGTGGTGAACGTGCATCCTTGCAGCTGTGGTGAACTGCAGAGCTGTTCCACACATGTCTGTATAGAAGCCCAATTTAACAGTTGCTCTCTCTGTGTGTGTGTGTAGATCAAACTGGGACGGCCGCCGGGACCCTGTGCGGGGAGCCCTCTGCACCACTGAGACGGTGCCAGCAGCCGATCCTGTTCCCCAAGAACCCCGAACCCGAGCTGACCACCATCCACAACTCTGGAGCGGCCCTGGTGTGGAGCCAGAAACAACAGGTAAATAAAGATGAGACCGTTACACGCACCATGTGGGCAAATGCATGATCCACATTCTTCCACACTGGCCGCGATTCTCAACACTGCACTGAGAACGGCGTACAGCACAGGGTGTCCACTTCAGGGAGACACAGGATCGGGACGGAATAAGCACAAAGCCACAATGTGTTTGTTTGAGATACCTCTTACCGACAGGTTTTACTACATACAGTTAGAACATGTCCAAATCCGAGCAGGAAATCATAAAGAATAGCTTAAAAGGGAGAATTATGTAACCTAACCCTAAGACAAATGATAATAATAATCACAATAATAATACAGAAATTGAGCTACTATCATTGTTTTTTTAATGGATTTTGAAATGAACCATTTTCTCATCTGACCTTCCTAAACCAATCTAGACCCAACCTAGCCTGGCCATAGTCATCCGTACACTCCGCTCAATCATCATTTCACTGCATGTAACGTCTGGGTCTAGTCCCTGTGTTAGCGAATACAATCGGTCGTATTTCGAGCGCGGAAGGCGGGTTTTGTAGGTCGGTGCCGGTGACGTCAAGAGTAGGCGTCACCGGGCAGGTTGTAGTTTGGCAAAGGCGAAGAATGCGATAGTAAAGTAATCCGGTCTGGTTCTATCAAGAAATTGAAGCAGGAGCAAGAGGAATGTTTAGCAAATGTAATCGCTGGTCAAGATTGTGGCGCTACTCCCCACAGGCTCCGTTAGCGGCAAAGGAGATGGCTAAAGCTAGGCTAAATGCTAACAACAGACTCGGGCGCACTACATACGTCACGGTAAACTCAGATCCAATCGTTTCAATCTGCAAAAGGAGTTAACCCCTCCCACCTGTTCACGGAGCTCAATGTAATTTGTACTAAGGTGTGGTACGACCAGGCTAGACCCAACCCTGATTGATGCTTTCTCTTGTTGTATGCAAAATGAAAACAGGCTCTAGTTTCTAATTAAATTTAGGTATGAGTTTCTGAAAGTGGAAAAAACATGTTCTTATTACAAGCAATAAATATAGGCTCCCCCGATGTAATATTCCATAAATGATAATACTGCCACTTCATTATAAGGCCACTCTAATGTCTGACAGAGAACAGGGCAACGCCTTTATGTGGTTTTAAAGTATTTTTTTGATTCCGTTTGTTGCTGGTTTGAGGTGTGCGCAGGATAAAATGCCTCGAGGTCAGACGTACTTCTTGTTCTGGCGCATTAAGTTGGAAAATCCAGCCGTTCAGTCTTTCTCGTGAGCATTTGGGATTTTCTTCCCTTGGACTGAAGCTGCAGTCATTTATCTGCATTTTTATTCAAGAATATTAATGAGTAAAGAAAAGCCCACCTATTATTGGTCTCTCTATTCAAGAGCAACAGAAAAAAAGACTCATGCAAAAAGGATAAATATCTGTTTAAATATAAAACTAAACTCTTATATAGATGTTTAAGTATAAACATTTAGGTACACTATGCAAAATATTACAATGTGTTTTCATTGAGGAGCATAAACAGAATACATGGCAGATGATAAAGTTTGTTGGGTGCATTATTCTCTTCATTATCAGAAAATTCTAAAGTTGTCACGTTGTCATCTCTTGTTGTCGGTGGTTTGCCATCACAAATCTATTCCAGCGTGAAAATATCGCCATCAAAAAAGAAAAAATACTGTTGGTTTTCAGACGAATATAATCAAACGTAAAAAAGTTAACTGTAAACTTCCTCCACACAATAGTACTGTGTTTTGTTTACGTCACGTGTCAAAGCAGAAGTAAACGGCTTTGTGATTCACAGGTGGGAGAAAAGAGAAAGGGTTGACTGTATGTTTTCTTGTTTGTGCAGGAAAATGGCCAGGAGGTGATTAATGGTGAGTATCATGTACACTACTTGCTCTCTGCACCGCTCCACTCCCACTATGTCGGCGCATGACTTCATTGAGTTACCACACTGAATGTCCGATTGCCCTCACGTCAGCTGACCCTCCCTGTATTCACACAACTGTCGGCAAAGATTCATGTTCTAGCTTTTTGACATGAGAGTAACGCATCAGGCACGAAGTGTAGTTGTCATCAGTGGATTATCAGTTGTAAAGTGACTGTAAGGGGTATTTAAAAGGCTTTTTATAAACCTCCAGGTGCATGTTTGGAGATGAGTGGCTGCTCGGGTCTTTTGGGACCAGTATAATGGAGGCTTTGACCTCAATAGGCTTTAGACAATCAAAACATGCCGTTCAAATCTGGTTGAATTTCTTCTCGTATTGCACATGGACAAAAGAAAGGTTTTTCAAAAGCGTTTGCGTCTTGGAACATGGAAAGACAAGTTTGTTTGTCCTGCACAATTCCTACACAAAGCATGTAGCAAGTATTTTACAAGACAAGTAAACATAATAATCAAAAGACAACCTTGCGACCTTATTTTATTTAAAAAAAAGAATGGTTCAGATAAAATTACTCATGTTTCTTTTTTCAAACTAGTCCTAAAACTGTCATACAACTGTGCATCCTGAGAACATATCAATTTAATTTCAAATTATATTCATATTGATCGTCAAAGCACAGATTTGCATAATCGTAAGCAAGATCTAATAATGTGTATGACTAAATGTAAAAAAATAAAAAAAAATCTAAATGTCTATTTATCCAAATAAAAGCTCAAACATATCTTACTGATGACAACATGTGCATTGCTTTGCAGACAGGCGTCCATGAGTCATCAACACAATCACTGGCCTCGCGGCAGAAGACTCTTTCATATGGGCTCCGCTGCTACGATGAGGAAAGCTGCAGTGGTTCCGATACATGTTACAGTGCTGGACTTAATCACTTCATGTTTAATTCTCCTTTTATACAGGGCTTATGTTGGCAGACTGGGAGTGTGCACGTACTTGTTTAAAACATAAGTGGCTTATATACATAACATTCCAAACATCTATAATGGTGCAAGGACTTTGGCAGGCACTCTTTTTTTATGAATAATAGGCTTTATTATGAGGAGGCAGCCCTGCAAAAAAAAAAAAAAAAAAAAAAAAAAAAAAAAAATGGCGCCACGAGTCAGATTTAGCCTTGTAGCTGGGATGAGCTGTCTGAGCAGACACTGTGCATGAAAAAGTATTCAAACCTCATGAACTTGAAGTTAATTGGATATATTTGTGAACAAAAAAGGTAAAAGTACTGCAGAGTATTCAGCCGCTTTTCTTAAGTTCAAGAGTTGCCAACATGATTGAGATTGAGCAAATGATGACGTGACCGATTCAGGGAGTCCAGCATGTGTAATCTATGCATATCTGAGGGCTTTGGCATCAATTGTACAAGGACTCCATGTTATGACTATGATGTGACTGTCTCTTTGTGACACGTATGTCTTTCGATGTGTGACGTGACAATGACTATATAAACTGTGTACTGCCTTTATTCTGTCTGAGAAAAAGAAACAGAGGAAACCAGTGGAACTTGAGAGAAACTTAAATAAACTTCCAGAGTTTGGCACACCACGAGTCCGTCTCTGTCTGCTAAATCCTGACAGATTTGGTGGAGAATGCGCGGCTCCGTGTGTGCCATTCTCTGGATTGTTTTGGGGGAGTTTGCTCTGTTTCTTTTCCTCGGCGTGAGAGATCGGCATGCTGTGTCTGGGAGCGGAGATTCCAGCAGGCTGGAAGAGCTGTTCCTGGATGCTTCTTGTCGCTTCTGTCACTTTTTTTTTTTAAATTGAATATTCCGACGCGGAAAAGAGTTGGCAGACCTCTCGGACAGTCCGTGCATGCACCTGTTTGACAAGAATAAGGTAAGCAGACACCTTTTTATATGTAAAGTCTGCATAATTGGATACTAGCTAAATTTTGGTCTGTTTTTGAGGTCTGTCGAACTCTCTAAATTGTGTTCAAATAAGTGAAAAGTGTTGGCCATAAGTGAGGATCCATAAAGTGAAAAGTGTTGGCCATAAGTGAGGATCCATAAAGTGAAAAGTGTTGGCCATAAGTGAGGATCCATAAAGTGAAAAGTGTTGGCCATAAGTGAGGATCCATAAAGTGAAAAGTGTTGGCCATAAGTGAGGATCCATAAAGTGAAAAGTGTTGGCCATAAGTGAGGATCCATAAAGTGAAAAGTGTTGGCCATAAGTGAGGATCCATAAAGTGAAAAGTGTTGGCCATAAGTGAGGATCCATAAAGTGAAAAGTGTTGGCCATAAGTGAGGATCCATAAAGTGAAAAGTGTTGGCCATAAGTGAGGATCCATAAAGTGAAAAGGCCATAAGTGTATAGGATCCATAAAGTGAAAAGGCCATAAGTGTGTAGGATCCATAAAGTGTTGGCCATAAGTGAGGATCCATAAAGTGAAAAGTGTTGGCCATTAAAGTGAATAGGATCCATAAAGTGTAAAGGCCATAAAAAGTGTAGGATCCATAAAGTGTAAAGGCCATAAGTGAGGATCCATAAGTGAAACCATGGTGTAAAATTAAAAGTAATTATAAAAAGGGAAACGTGTTAAGGAGGCCTTTGTTACAAAAGCTTTGAAATTGATGAATTTCAGGCTGATAAATGACAAAAGTAAAGAATCAACAATATTTCAGTGATCACGGTTTAAATTACATACAGAAAAAAGGAGTTTTTGTGTTTTAGTTTGTTTTTGGCGTGAACAGAGTTCACCGGAGAATGCAGAGTTTTATCTAAAGTTGAGCTATGAGAGCTTTCGTGAGTTATTTACATTTTTTTGCAGAGTTTTATCTACAGTTAAACTATGAGAGGGTTGTATCCAACAGTTGTTTTTTGTTTTTTAGAAAGAGATTTTGAGTTTAAATTAGTTTGCTACCTCGATAAAATAGAAGCGTAAACGTTAAAGACAAGAGTGCCTTTTGTTACTAGTGTGGAAAGTGATCACTTCTAGACTTGGATGACAAAAGTTTAAAGAACAACATCAGTTATATTCGCTTTAAAAAGTAATCTTGAAAGTTCTTCTTCTGTATCTTTTTGCCTGTGTGTGCACATCTCTATCTGCTGCCGTTGTCAGGGAAACGGCCCCCTCCTTCGCTGCTCTGGCTCTGAATCAGAGCAAAGCTACTGCTTTAGGATTTTGGCTTTTCATAGTAGTTATTCCGTTAAATTTGCGAAATTTGCCATTTGAACATTGTGTTATGACACAGTTAAACGTTTTTAAACACCATTAGTGAATAAGTTTTGAATTAGTATGTTTTTGAAACCCAAAGATTAGTACAAAAAGCTTTGCTTTTCTTTTAAATCTGCTGCTTATTTTGTGAGTCCATTATTGTATCTCTGATATATTTCATAGCTGTTTGTGAGAATTTTTTTTTTATGTTTTTATTTTAGTTACAAAAGCCGTTTTTCAAACATTTAAATTAGAATCTGAGTTAAAAGTGATTAATGATTGTAGACTTCGTCTGAAAAGAAAGAGGGAATTAGGAATAGAACAGGATAGCTGTAAAAGTATTATTAAGTTAAACTGTGACCCAATTTACAGTCTAAAAGCTGCGAGTTTTGTGAGTTTTGTTTTGTCTATAGCTCTGGCCTTGCAGCTGCTGCTCACTGCAGGGCGAGCAGAGTTTGATAGTGTCTTCCAATTCAAAATGTTTTTAAAAGTTTATTGAGTGCATTTGAAGAATGCAGCAATTATTTTAAATTAGAATATATGCTATAAATGTTCAAGTGTAAAAGGGAAATTCCATAAAGTGATTAATCCAGTTTAGTTAATCTTTTTGCTTTGACTTCATGTTTTCAAGTTTTGTTTTAATGTTTTTCAAAATTCATTTTTACAGAGATTTTTCATACAGGTTTTTTTAGATTTGAGTCTTGTTTTTTTATATTAAGAGTTTCTGGTCTTAAAAATGTCATCATTAGTAAGATAATAAGTAATCTTTTATTTACATAGCGCTTGGGAAAACCCAGAGCGCTCCAAAATTGTTTTGACTTCAGGGAGAAAAACAATCTCATTCGCATACTGATATCTATTGTTTTTTTAAATTGGCCGTCTCAAGGATTGTTTTTCAGACTCTGCCTCACTGTACGAGAGGTCACTGCTGGACACTGGACAGCGCAACGCCCACCCAGCCACAGGCCACAGAGCTAAGAGCAAAGGGCAACAATGCCACCTCCTTGCCCCTCCCCCCACTACAGAAGTAAGTGGGAGTGAGACCGGGGCCATGAAAGAGAGGTGTCTGGAGACGTGATGGGTGGAGCGTCAGGTAGAGACCTAGAGAGAGTTGAAAGTGTGTCCAGTTGGTTTGCATCACCACAGTGTGACCTTTGACACCTACAGGTGGTTCGAGGAGTCTGGAGAGACAACCCCAAAATTTACATACACACATACACACACATACACTCATACACTCACACATTCACATTTACATATAGATACATGAAAAAGTAGAACATGAGAAAAAAGCATTTTAAAAGTTTACTCCAATGTAAACACATATTTTTAATTGTCTATCACTTGAATCTTTAGTTGAATCGGTATTTTTTGAGACCAGAAATGTTCATTTGAATTCTATATTGTCATGGACTAATTTACCTCTGTCCTGACACTTTTGATTTGTTGATTTTGTACTGTGTGAAGTAATTACATTGATGAGAATTAGATCTGATAAAAACACAAATTAGAGAAGTAAACTGAATAACTGCGCTTGCTTTTTGTCTGAGGGACATTAGCAACAGCATGAATAGAAATTGTGTTAAAGTAGAATCAAAGTGACTTAACCATAGAGAGTAACTATTGCATTACAAGCTGTGTACAGGAACTGAGACACTGCACCATTGACCAGAAGTGCATCGCAAATGACCTGATGTGCTTCAAGTGAAAAGACTGTATCTGGAGATCCTGATGTGCATCTGGACCAAAACCATGGCTTGGACCCTACTGATGTCCAAGATGACATCTCTCTATGACCTGACCTGATGACGACTGAGACTCACCCTCAGGGGACCCTGAGGACCTGAGGATCTGAGGATCTGAGAGAGAAAAAACTGGGGAGTGATGTTTATATTTTTGAAATCATACATTGATGAGTGCTAAATGAGAGAGATACTCATGATTCTTTCTTTTGTTTTTGTTTGTCCCTAGCTTCTGGACATCTGATGATCTATTGGACACAGACATTTGCAGAACAAGAACCAGCCAATGAAAACGTCTATTGCCGATGCTATTGCTACAACCAGAACCTGTGACAAATGCAATATACATGTTAAGTATTCAGACATCTGACAGACAAAAACTTTGAAAATGATAAAGTATGAGTATTGTAGCGTTTTAGTAGATGTTAAATAGTAGTAAAAAAGTAGAATTTGACTTCCTTTGTTGTTCATAAACACATTTCCACGTAAGAGTTAAAATAGTACCATACAATGTTATCCTTTTGATAGATCAGCTATAATATTAGAATCAGAGTTATGTTACAGCCATTAAAAGTGACAGAAGTCACAGATTAGAAATATGCCTTTGCTCAAGCTGCAGCCGAGCTTTGGAGTTAAAAAATAGAGTAAAAATAGAGAAATAGATAAATGCATCAACCATAGATGCTTTCAAAAATAGAGAATATTCTTAGCCAGTGCTAATATCAAATGGTAAAGGGACCATTTCACAAGCATTTACTTCAAAAGTAGATGAAGTTACTTACAGTTTTATGTACAGTTTTATTAGATACTGCCAAATTCACTTGTGTTCAAACATGAGTGAATGTTGACAATACAAAAAGTTCATGTGTGTATCTTAGATTAATGAGATAGATTACAACCAACAGAGATTCAAAAGCATTTAAAAGCATTTTGATGCATTTGTGTATAGCACAAAAACAGTAATAGTAGATATTTAGATATTGAGAAGTTTTCCAGCACAAATACCATTGTAGAATTACTGACCCCAACCCCAAACCTGCTAAAATAGATTAGCTCTTGTAAGGATAATAATAATTTGATTAATGATGTACAATCATCCCCGTGGCGGCACGGTGGCTGAGTGGATAGCACTCTCGGCTCTCAGCAAGAAGGTCCTGGGTTCGAATCCCGGTCGGACCAGGGCCTTTCTGAGTGGAGTTTGCATGTTCTCCCTCGTGTCTGCGTAGGTTTCCTCCGGGTACTCCGGTTTCCCCTACCACTAAAAATATGTACAATAGGTCTGGCATGTGCCCCCTGTACTGGCGACCCCGCTCCCATCTCTGTGTGGAGTGAGAGACAAATGCCTAAAAATTAACAATTGTAAACCGCTTTGAGACTCAGATCTGCAGTGAAAAGGCGGTATATAAATAAAAACTTACTTACTTACAAACTGCCTGAGAGGAGGAAGTGACAGCACTTCCTGGTTCAACAAATGTATTTGGAAAACTGACCACCATAATAATGTTCATATTAACCATTTGTCTTACTGTGTTCACAGTTTTATTCCTGAGAATGTAGAATAGACATAGAGCAAAATCCCACTAACAATAAGCCACTGATAATGAAAGTAAACCACAGAGAGATTTATTAGATTAAAATATATGTTTAAGAATATGGCTCGGTAAAAGCAAATATGCAAACATATTTGTAAATAGATTAGAATAGTTTTAAACTATAGTGAATAGTAAAAGTAAAGTACACAGTCTAAGATTAAAAAGTGATAATAATACAGTAAGTGAAGTGTATGTAAACAATTATCATTAGAATAAAAGTATAAAGTAAGAAAAGTGAAATTAGCTTCAAATTTGAGACTCAGCTCGTTTTTGTCTTTGTTTTGACTGAATCTGCTGAGTTCTACTGTGTCCAATAGTTTTTGTTTGTTTTTATTTTTAATTTGTTTTTATTTTTGTTTGTTGTTTTTTGTTTATTTATTTACTTTATTTTTGTTTTGTTTTTTCCCCAGTATAGAGGATAAAATCCACTGATATTGATTTGATGATTATAAGTAATGCATACATTTTCTTTGTTTTTTAATAATTTTTTAAAGTTTTTTTTTTATTTTATTTTCCACTTTATTGATTGATCAAATTGAGTGATCACATGTGATCATGTGATCAAAGGGGTGGGTGTTAGCATTAGATAGCAATATGTCCTACGTGCAGGACTGTACAAGGACTCTGATTATTTTGACTATGATGTGACTGTCTCTGTGTGACACGTACGTCTTTCGATGTGTGACGTGACAATGACTATATAAACTGTGTACTGACTCCATTCTGTCTGAGAGAAAGAAACAATTGAAACCACTGGAACTTGAGAGAAACTTAAATAAACTTCCAGAGTTTGGCGCACCACGATCAGTCTCTGTCTGCTTCATCCCTGACACATATATCCTGCATGTAACATGTTTGCACATTTCCTCCTTTTGCACAATCTGGGTGTCTCTATCCATGCCAAATGTGACATGTAAATTTCTCCTCTGTGAGATAAATAAAGCACATCTTATCTTATGCTATAACTAACCCCAGACACTGCAAACTTTAGCTGTCCAAACACACATCCCAAAATGTGGACACTAACAAATGTGTGTAATTTTTGTCATGTATTAAAATTAAATAATTGTTTCCTGATCGTAAATCTACCATATATTTTTCGCGTAATGTTAATACGCTAATCTTTACATACACCTCGCTCTTTTTCCTCTCGCTCTGTTCCCTCCACCTCCGAGGCGCTCTCTCCTCACCGCACACACACACACACACACACACACACACACACACAGAGCTACGGCACAGTATGTTATGGCGCTTTCATGGTGCTTTCAGACCGGAAAATGCGTTGCGTCCGGTTTCAATACAAAGTCTATGTTGGCGCGCGTTCGACCGTCACAACCAGTGGGGGAGGGTCCCAGCTCAAAAGTGGCCAAAATGACGTGCGCTGACATGCTTGCAATACCACCCCGGGCCGATGGGGGTGGACCCGGAATAAGAATTAGCCCATGCTAACATATAGCGTTGGCAGACCTCTCAAAAACGTCTTTACAGGATGCTCCAAAAGTTGGCTCTTGGCCCAAAGCTCCGTTCCACATGTGTGTCAATGCTGAGGCGGGTGATTTTTTTTGGTCCACTCTAGTTTACTCGCGGGGAATTTTTGAAGTCTCTCGTTCAAATGAATGGAGCTGCGCCGGCTGACGCATGCGCAGATGCGTTTTTTCATAATTTTCTTGTGGGCGGGACCACTCGCGGCCATCTTGGATTGCTCCATGAAAGCACTTTTCATGGCCAACTCCTATGAACGGTGGAGATAGGCGTGACTCTGTCCATTAATATATACAGTCTATGGTCACAACGCACGCAACTCTCGGCACGCACGAACGGACTGTTCAATAATGACGCACGGACTTGGCGTCCGTGCGTCAACTGCTCATCTACTCATCCTTTCCTTGGGACGTTCGTGCGACAACCAATCAGAGAGCAGCAAAGTGGTCACGGGGACATTAGCGGACTGAGCGAGCAGACTGAACATACTCGTAAACAGCCAAAACTCCCATAACAGTACTAACCAGGCCATACCGTACTTGGCTTCAGAGGTCTATTGTGGTTACCAGCACCTCAGCGTGCGCACACATACACTAGCGCACGCACGCACACACACACTTTTTATCACCTCTGTTCTTTGGCTGCTTTATCAGAGTTGGTCCATAGTGAATGATCTTAAAGGAGATTCAGCTTTAAATTTAGTCCCTTCCGCTGACTCACTCTATTACATTTACTTTACTTACTTACGCTTTTTTTGTCTTCATCCTACCTCTGTTCTTTTTTTTTTATAGAACTTGTTGTACTTGGTGGATTGTTGTGGTATTTTGTTGCATTACCGTGAAAAAAATTGTGAAAATAGAATAAAGAAAGAAAGAATAGTTGAAGGCATTGGCAGATTGTTGCTGTATATCTACAACACAACTGTAGAAAAGGGCGGGCTTGATCACCTCCTCCTCTCTGCACCGTTCTTCACATACAAAGTCTCTGTGTGAGGTAATGTGTGTCAAACCTGTGTCTCTGCTGCGGAGAAAGCATCATGTCAGCGCTGTGGAGGTTTGCCGTGACTCTCATCGTTGTCTTCTGCATCTCTGTCTCCACAACCTCATGCAGCACAGGTGAGACTGGGAAAAGAATATATTTGTGAAGCTATAAATGTCACTAAACTTGCCATTTATTTCCTTGTTTATTTATTATTTCATAGTGAAATGGAAGAAACCAGGGATGTCCGTCACGATCCAATGCAACTGTGGAAAAAAGGATATAAAGTTTATCTCAGTAAAAAAGGGCCTATACAAAAATGAAAGCTTTTATTACAAGACTCCCAGTCATACAAATTCTTTATATCCACAACGTTCAGAAGACAACGGACATTTCCCCAATATTCAAATCCTCCTGAAGAACTTGACACGTGAGGACACAGGGGTGTACTGGTGCATGTGTGGGACACACTCTGCAGAAACTGGGCTGAATGTCCCGGATGGGGATGGGTCTGTGCTGTTGGTGGTAGCAGGTGAGATATTCTTTTTTTTATTGTTTGTTAGATTGTTAGTTTGATTTATTTCAAACCTGCAGGACCCATTTTCACATATATTTACACTACACAGGTTTGCAAAGGGGTTGGATGAAACCCTATCATGGTGTATTAGACACAAAAAACACCCAAACACACACATACAATACACACACACTGGCCCAAACACTCTCTGACCCTACCCCTCTCTACCATCCTCTGCTCTGTGCTGAGGGCATGACTCTTTCCTCCATGTTACGGTTTGTGTTTGAAAATAACTTGTACTAAAAAGTCCTGTCTGTTAGATCCCGCGGCTGGAGCAGACTCGTCTAAAGCCTCGGCCTGCGGCGAGGACGACACGGAGGTGGACAACCACCTGCTGCTGATAACTGTGGTCATCTCATCTGTATTGGTGCTCGTCATCTTCTCAGCTTTGCTTCTGTTGGCAATACGAAAGGTCCATACTGAATTATAATACATTTATTATAATATGTTTATTTTGTATATTTATTGACAGTCAAGGTTACCATGCATACAAGTAAAAAGTACATTTTAAAAACGGTGGTGTAGTTATGATGTTAGTGATCAGGCCTATTTAAACAGATGAGGGTTATTGGAATAGTATAATTGTTTAGTCTGTTTTATCTACAGGTCACGGTTTCCCATGACGGCAAGAAACCAAGAGCCATTCCTCGCAACGACGTGTATGAAGAAATGCGAGTGAGCATCAGGAGATGAAAACACATCCACAAGAAAAGCATTCTTTAAAAAACTGTTTCTCCCAGGATTTTAGAAGCGAAAGATCTTTACACTCTTTTAGTTTTTCATGTATTTTGTGAAGTTATTATTGACATATGTATATTTGTGGTTGATTTTTCAATAAACTTTTTGCAAACACAAATATTTGTTTACTCTCTTTAGCCATTTTCACAACTACACAGACCAAAACAATTGAAAGATTTATCATTGTACATTGATTATACGCACCTACAGTCTATGGCACGCACACACACACACCCAAGTGAGTTTTACCCTATTGGTGATGTGTTGTTGCTACACACACACACAGACATACAGACACATGATTAGAATACCCCCGTGTTAGCAAGTGTGAGAGAGAAGCAAGCATCTCCTGCTTGCTGCGGCAGAGTGTGGTTTAAGAAAGCCTGTGTGGTTTGAGAAAGAGTAAAAAGCGACACATTTAGTTGTGGAGAAAAAAAGGATGTTTACAAGTGTGAATGCTGGCCACGTTTCAGAGAAACACTGCATGTTACACCGGATGTACCGGTTTGTCCGAGGCGAGCAGTGGTTTTGCACCATGTACTTGTTTACTAAGAACCTTGAGCTACAGACAGGGGCCATATAATCTGTTAACACTAGGACAACTGCCATTATGAAATTACTAGAACTCCCAGAGCCGTCATTTTGACTGCTCCTAATCGAACCAATGGATTTCTGAGAAATTTCCCCAAACAATGTTTAGTTTTTCACCAGATTTATTAAAAAGTAATTTACAAGGGATTTACCTTTACTCACTTTTAAACAGTGAACAGTGTGTTGCTATGGTAACTAGCCCTTGATATTCTCTGATGGAAAGTTAGTTAAGGGGGAACAATTCAATTCAATGTATTCTTGTATAGCCCTAGATCACAACTGTAGCTATCTCCAGAGGACTTAACAAAACCGTTGATTTTGCCAACACAGATCAGAGAATCAAACCGCTCCAACAAAAACAAAACAGAAAACACATAAGTGTTGGCGTTGCTTAATAAGATAAGAGAAGATAAACCTTTATTAGTCTCACAGTGGAGAAATGTCAGTGTCATTGTTGCGCACATTACAGCAGAGAGAGGAAATAAGAGCACTCAGATTGCACACATCAAATAAGTCTATTATTTAAGGTAATAATAAAATGAGATAAACTCTGGGCTATAATTGGACTTGGTTCGGAAGTATTTACAGATGTCTATATTATACATTAGCCGCGGAGAATATGAGAATATGAATATGAGCAGAATAAACATCAGAAATAATATCAACAGGTAAAGTGACTTGAATGGGAGAATTATTAATGTTGAGTATCCTGGATCATCACCACTGTCCTTTCAGTTAGACCTCACAAGACTAACTAAAATGACTCCTCAGATTTCAAAAGTACAAGATAATTTCATAAAAATCATGACGTAGAAATAAACTACACATGGAAACAGAAAAAAGTCACAGTATTATGAAGACTAAGACACATGAGATGAGTAATGACACTTGAAAGATCTAGTAATTCTAGTCTAATGGTAGCTCTAGGGGTGGGATTACATATATTTCAAATTCTTCCATCTCCCTTTTGAACATAAAAAATGTTCTTATTTATGAGACAATTTATAATTATTATTTTATTTATGTGCTCCTGTGGACTCACCACCTGCAGGAGGATCAGTGAGGGGCTGGTGCTATGTGTACTGGCTGCAGCTCTGACTGCCATCCCCCAACCCAAAAATAATGGATTAAGGGGAAGAAAATGGATGAATGTTATTTATATTATTCATCAATTGACTATTATCATTTATTTATTTTGGTGCTTTTGTTATTTATTTATATGTACATTTGTCATGAATATCTTGTTATGGTTAAGTTTTGTAACTAGTCATGAAATGAGAGTCAAATTAACAAGTAAACTGAAAACTATTTCATACTCTTACTTTTTAATGTGCTGTAAACGACAGCAAGTCCTAATTAGCTGAAACAGTAGTTGTTTTGTTTTTCTTTCATTTTTTTCTACCTGAGATGTTGCTGCAGTACAGTGTCCATGGTTTCTGACAGATCAAGACTTGAGTGGAGAGAATTTGTGTTCTGAGCAAAGCAGGTCCACTGGAGGAAGGCTAACTTTTTGAAAAATGCTAATGAAGTATTCAGCATTTTACTTTGGACCAGAGCAAAGAAAATGGTTCGAACCAAGCGGCTGCTCCAACCTCTGCTGCTGTGACCTGAAGTGCTGTTGCTGATTATTACTATTGTTTTGCTTTTTACAAAATCATTTATTTGTTTTGTTTGTGTGGATGGATGTGTTTTTGCTGCTAATTTACACCTGAATTTCTATCTATCTATATATATTTAAGGAGGAGAAAAAAAAACAACTTAGCACAATTCATAATAATCAATATTCGTATTCCCAAACCTGCACTAATATGGAAGCTAAAGGTTTGCTGCGATGAGAGGGTTGTACAACAGCTTTGCCTGAAACATATATTATACTTGTCAAAACATGTAACAGGAAACAGTAATGACAAGTTGCATCAAAGGAGATTGAAGCGGAGTATGACTCACATCTAAAGTCTGCGTGTTGTTTACAAAACCCTGTAGCCGTCTGTGATGCTGCCGACTTCTCTATTTAACCACATTACAGATTATTACTACCACATTATTAGAAAACTCAGTTTTGATTTTTCTGCTCAGAGAATACTTAAAATTATTCAAGGACCACATGTTGTTTGTTGCTTTTGAAATCAATGTTAAAATGGTTAGGACGAAATAGTTCAAGACATTTTACTACTTACTCCTATTGGTTTGGTTGTACTTTGGTTCAGTTGTGATAAATGTTGATGTCCATAAATGTCTGAATCTGAATCTGAATCATCAGCGTGCATGCACCAGCTATTTTGAAGTGTTTTTTAATGTATTTGTCAGTTGTAATTAATACTACAATAAAAAAGTTTAAAGACGGTCCTTTAACAATGTTTCCTTCATACAGTTGAACTTCTTCTTGATCTGACACCCACTCTTCATTATTACAGAACGCAGGATGTGACGCCACAGAATGGAGCCGTGAAGCTACCACAGCGAGTGTTCATTTAGAAACAACCTGTGATTCATCTTCCTGTTGTCGAGTCTCAGTCTGTGCATCTGTTAGATCTTGAAAAGCCGCAGCTGATGTGTGACTTTGCTTATAGTTTAAAACTCGGATTAGAGTCAATTACAAAGTGAACCATTTGTTTGACCAATGACGATAATATGTGCTCTGCCGTGTAACTTCTGTCAGAGGGAGGTCCACATCTGCTCGTCTGCATCATCAGAGGCTGGAGTTGTGATTCCAGGTGTTATTTCCAAAATCCCCTTTTGATGGAATGATTCTTATAATTTGTTTCAAATGATATTTGATCCCATAAGCCAAACTGAGCAGGACCTGGTTAGTACTGTGATGGGAGACCTCTGGGAACATCAGGTGCCACAGTGGTGGACACTGGTGTGTGCATGAAGCTGGTGGTGGGGTCACTGATGATGCAGATCAGCCGCTTCCACTAATGTCAGTCTGCCCCAGGCCAGCTGTTGGCTGGGGTATCATCAGTCTGGGATCGTGATCTTTTTTTTGGGTTTCTTTATGTATAGAATGTCTACAAAACGTTCCAATCCGTAAGAGATTTTAGTGCCTTTTTTCTAAATGATCTAGGACCTTTGCAGGCAGCAGTATTTCTGATTTGATTTGTTCTGTTATTGCATGCAGACATACAATACAATAAATGGTGAAATACCTGTAAAGAACCACAAGAGGTCACTGCTGAGTGCAGCTTCTGGTTTGAGATTCTGTGGCCAGTTTCTGACAAAAGGAATTTGAGAGTGTCACCGCTCTGTGGATCTACTTCGGCCTTTCCATGTGCAGTGTTTTGAGCAAATCCAGATAAGAAGGCTATATCCTCATTGTTGAACAGAGCTACTTCCATGTTTGTCATCAATGGAAATCTTTCCATACTAAAGACATATACAAAAACTGTAAATCATTACGAAGGAACATATCTCTTCTTTGTGCACACTGAACTCACAGGCTAACTTCTTGGATTATAATGGAATTTAGAGTCTAATATGTAAGGAAAATATAAGAGATATTTTATAATGCATTGGTTTTTTTTATACAGCGCTTTTTTGGACACTCAAAGACGCTTCACATGCATTATTCTTTCACTCCATACACAGTGGTGATAAACTACTACTGTAGCCACAGCTGCCCTGGGGCACACTGACAGAAGCGAGGCAACCAGTATGTGCCATTGGCCCCTCCGACCACCACCAACCATTCAGACTCATTCTAGGCAATGGGGGTAAAGTGTCTTGCCTGAGGACACAACGGCAGTTTGGCACTTTACAGCCGCAGCCGCCCCACTGTGGCTGGTGTTCCCAGAGGTTAAGTGTCTTGCCAAGGACACAACGACAGCAGACAGTGGGAGTCGATGGTGAAAGTAGGACTAGAACCCACGACCCTCTGGCTCAAAGGCCAATGCTCTACCAACTGAGCTACTGTCGCCTAGGAGTGTGACAAAATATCAATTTTTCGATATATCGCGATACTTTTTCCCCCGATCAAATTTTTGATATACATTTGCCAAGTATACATTTTTTTTTTTTTTTTGTATTAATACTCAATATATGGCTACATTACACATCTCCATTCGATTTATCATGAAATAAAGTGTATTTTTTCACTTGACATTTTTCTATTTTATGTATGCCATATTGGCATATGGTATATTGCTGACCAATATATCGATAATTGTCATATCGTGATATAATTGTTATCGTGATATAATCGTTATTGTGAGCTTTGTATCGCATCGTATCGTGAGGTACCCTTAGGTTCCCACCCCTACTGTCGCCCACATCCTTTATTCCTACAGTCTCACTAAAATCTCATTTAATAATCCTGAATAAATGTCCAAAATTCTTTATCTGAAATGAAAGAAATTCTCAGTCTC